GATGCTCTCAACAAGAAGTCCTACACTATGTGGGTACAAACATGCCATACCTCCAGTGAGTTCCATGATCAGCTTGCTGGATTTCCTCTTCTTGTTGGGAGCTGGGGTTCCTGAGAGTGGCATTGTGGAGGCAGAGGCAACCTGGATAAAGTGGGAAGGGGGAGTTGGAGGGTAGACAGGAACTGGGAAGGGGGGTATCTACTAAGAAGGCAGTACTTCTTAACCTGGGGTTAAGGGTTTCAGGTGAAGGGGTTTCATGAAATTTTTAAATAAATAAATAAATAAATAAATAAATAAATCCCCCTCCCCCCCGCCAAAAGGTAAAAATTCATTGCTTTAGGACTTCTCTTTTCTTGGAGGCAAGGCAGAAAGTAGAGATGTGCCCTCTGCTCCTAACTTCTATCAGCCTCTTTTCTACTGTGTAAATAGAGTTCGTACAGGAATTAGGAACATAGTATATGTTGGGGCAATGGGTAAAACAAACAGATAACACACAGACAGGGTACTGCACCCAGGTTTCATTGGCTTGGTGTGACTTTAAGTTTTTATTTTTATGGGGGCTCTCAGATTGGGGTTGTCACTCCCAAACTCCGGTCTCTCTTCAGTCTTCCTCAAGCCCCATTGTGGCACAAAAATGTTCTGCCAGGGTTGAGGAGATTCAGCCAAAAACATTCTCCATAGGAAGGAGAGGTTGTTGCTCCCCTATTGGGCCAGCTGGAGTGTGGCCTGGGAGGTCACAGCAGTGTTCCTTGCTCCCTTTCAGTCACTCCTGCCCCAGGCCCCAGAGCTAGAATGGAGAGGAGGGCTGAGAGTATTTGAACCCTGATGCATGTCAATTCAGCAAGATCATAACAGTTGGGAATTGATGGGGGACAGGAACATAATAATGGAATCTGGCAGTGGAGGGGGACAAGCTGGGAAAAGTTTCAAACTCCAGCCCCTCCTTAACAGAAGCTGACACTCAGCAAAACACCGTCTTCTGCTGAGTCTTATTTCACAACATGTCTGCAATTCTACTAACTTAATGGGGTATGCTAAGGTCAGACTCCAGGAACTGCTAAATGGGCATTCATTATCCCTTTCTCAGCCCTAACTGGCTAAGTTCTTTTTCTTTCCATCCAGGCTCTCAGAACCCCTTCTTACTATTCTAGTGCCTCCTCCAACATCTCCATTCCCACACCTTCCTGGGCCCCTCTCCTTCCAACTCTGTGGCTCCCCTGAATTAAACAGCTGGAAGCAGGGCATGGATAAGGGAGGATCAAGGGTCACAATTACAGACACAGACACAGCAGTCAACAGAATGGGCTCTAGCCCCTCTGGCCATAGAACTGGAAACTTACCGGCTGCTCAGGCGGTGGTCAGCTCTCCCTGGGGTCCAGCAGCTTTGGAGGACTGAGCTGCTGTGACCGGAGAACCCGAGCTGGGCAGGCGTGGGGGCAGCACTGGCAGTGGAGGAGGGAGGGAGTTATTAATAGAGATGATGAGTACAAGCGGCTCAAATGGCACTGGGGGTACTGAGACCCTGGAACCAAGATCCCGCCCTCCTTGCCCAGAGGCTCAGGAAGGGGAGGAATGGCCTTTGGGATTCTCCCACTTAGCTGTCTGAGCCAGGGATCAGACTGCCTAAGGATTCCCCTTTCTTGGCACCTAAGGTCCAAGAATCAAAGAAGCATTTGCGGAGAAATTGAAAACTGAAATGGAAAGAGGAAGCAAGCAGAAAGTGGTAGATAAGAATTCAGAGTGGGAGAGAAAGAATGTGGAGAACATGTCTGGAGAGCCACTCAAAACCAATCCAGGCTGGAGCTGGAGGGACATGTAGGTGCATTTTGGGGGTGGGACGGCTTAAGGTGTTATGTTTGGGGAAAGGAAGTCTGTACACAATGGAGCTAGCTGCTCATTGAAAGTTCCTTAATGGGTTGGTCTTTCCTGAAAAGCCAGATCTAGGGGGGCTAAGGAACCAAATTAACAAAATCCAGTGCTTCCTATGATGTCAAAGATGATGTGGAGAAGACTTGACCAGTTTTTGCCTTTTCATCCCCATATGCTATTGGGGTGCTCAGTTCGGCCTGCTTTGCAGGACACATGTTGATGTCTGAGAAGTACATGTATGCCAGGTCCTTTTCTCTCCAGGGTTCCCACTTGGGACTTTCTTCAAAGGGAGCACACATTCCCTAGGGTCGAGACTGTCCCATTCATACTCTTCCAGAGGATCCCCTGGGCAAGGGCACAAGTTTGAGAGCCTCCATGAGGGAAGCCTGTCATTTACCCAGACCTGTCCTCAGTAGCTGCACGAACATCTTGGACCCTCTTCCACCTGCTCAGGTTCTGGAACCAGCAGCTGCTGCACTTTTGTTGCAGTCACCACCATCTTGTTATGGCAGCTTTAGGAAGTGACTTTGCAGCTTCCAGAATGCTCCTCTGTCGCTTTGTGAGCTCTCCGCTCTTCCTGACTGTGTCCTTTTCATATCCTGAACTTTCCAAGCTCAGGCCAGGGACTGAAAGATCATCCTGCACCCCTCTAGTTGGCCTCTGCCTAGACCAGTTTAGCCTCCAGGTCCCTCATCTTTTATCCTCCTTCTCCATTCCCTCCCAACCCAAAGAAGCAATTAAAAGAAAAAATAAAAATGGCAAATGGTGATTTTTGTCATCACCACCAACCTACTCTCAAAAACAAAAACAAATCAAAATTTTGGTCTCCTGTGATTGAGTACCTAAAACTACCGAGTAGATGAAGACAACAGTCAACCTACAGCTCAATGGGCCCTTCCTTTGGAATTCTGAAACTGACATGGGAGCATCAGGGTCCTGGGCCTGGTTATTTGCACAAATATGCCCCCTGCTGGAGTAACAGCACTTTCTCAGAAGTCCTTAATTCTAGCCTGCCTCCAGTGCCTACTCTTGGGTAGTAGACTCAATCTACACTGATCCACCCTCTTTCTCCTTCCCTCTCCCACCCCACCGTCACCTCCAGGCATTGCTTTCCCATAGAAACATCATTGCTTCCTCCAGAGAGCTAGGAAATAATGATGGCAAAGGCTCAAAGGGCCTTTCCACTCCTCTTGGTTCTGAAATTGAGGACTTGACTGGGAAGTGTGGAGCAGGAGATGGAAAAGGAAAGAATCTGGGTAAAGAATGTAGGGAGAGAGAACCAAAGGGAATGGTGGAGGTGGCTAAATCTGAGTGGGACAGAACTATTAAGAAGAGCAAAAGACCAGGGAGTGAAGGACAAGAGTGAAAAATAGGGCAGGAGTGGAAAAAGAAGTAAGGAATCAGGAGATTGGGAAACGGGTTAGAGAAGATGAAGAAGAATCAGGATTTGGGTATAAAACTACAAGAGATGATGGCGACAGGTTTGGAACTTAAGTTTATTCTTGTGCACAAACCAAAGTACTGTGACTCACACTCAATATGCAAAGGAAACGATCAATCCAGATCAAGCAGCAAACGTGGCTGACTGGTGGTGGTCACGGTGAGAGGGAGTCCATACGCATTTAGGATCAGAGATCAGGACCTAAAGCTGAAAAGGAACAACAGCTAGGGTGTGGGGGATGGGGTTGGGCTGAAAAGAGGTTCTGGCTCTGGGTTATTTCCTTGCCCTTTCCCAGGTCATCATGACAAGCTGCAGAAGGTAGAAGGACAGACTCAAAGGAGGTAGAACAGACACTACTTATTCTTTTGATACTCAGCCCACACTCTCACATCCCCCCACCATCATCTGTCCTCATTCTAACAAATGCATTCTTCTCTCTCAAATTTTTTTCCTAGTCCCCGTTGTACACGGTGAGTTTCTTGAAATCCAGCTCTCCTGTCTGCCAAAACTGCTCTCTCTCCCCCCATGCTCTTCCCTGTGGCTCAGTCAATTTCATTCATTCACTCTGCTCCCGGTTTCTGCCTCACTTTCCACACCATGGCTCTTTTCCCCCTCCTTTCTGTCCCAGGTGCATGAGGCAATGAAGTCAATCATTTTTCCATTCTAGAGGAAATTTTCTGCCTTTCTTTTTCACTTCCTGGAAGCTTGTAGCTCAGCATGGGCCTCTTAAATGGCCTCTTTCTGAAATCCTGACGAATAGAACTTTTTATTTATTTATTTTATTTATTCATTCATTCATTTAAGTGCTCTCTACCCCCGGTGTGGGTCTCTAACTCACAACCCTGAGATCAAGAGTCACATGCTTCTCCAACTGAGCCAGCTAGGCACTGAATAGAATTCTGAATTCTGTTCTGGGTCTAGCTGGTATAACTCAGCCCTTACATACTGCCCCTGCCCTTCAGGTCTTCTCATAATCTGTGAGTTTCACAAGATGCTATACCCCTGCTACAAGCACTGGTCTTAAATTTCAGTCAATCTCTTTCTCCTCACTAGACTCTCCATGAGGGGCTATCTGACCCTTCTTTAATCAGTATAGAGGGAAGACCCAGATTGGGTCTTTATTTAGACCACTCCTCTTACTCTTGCCCCAGGCATAAGAACACATCTGTGGCCAAACACACTTGCACATACACATACACACACACGCTCACATACATATCTAGATATATGCCAGCCAAGCTTGGGAAATGAAAGTGAGGAGTAGCAAGCGATTTAGGGCAAACAGAGAAGTCAGTCCCTTTGAGTCCTGCCTGATGGTGAGCTTCTTGCCTGAGGTCTCACTAGTAACTTCTCCATGTGCTTCTCATTGAATGTTAAAATGAGGTTCACAGAAAGCACAAATGTAGAGAAATAGAGACCAGCGGAGGGGCGTCGGTGCAGACTGAGATAGAGAGATTGACGCAAGGAACTACAGAGACAAAGAGAAGCACAGATAACAAAGCAGAGATAACAGGTTGCAAAGCCGCAGGGAGGTTGGGAGCCAGGAGGATGGGACACCAACTCCAAAACTATCTCTGGCAGGAGGGAATTTAGCCTCCAAATGCCTGAGAAAGGACATGGGATGGGTAGGAGAAGCAACTTTAGGAACTGGGTGTTCCATCTCTCCTTGGTCCTGGGAGCTGTGCCCTGCTCAGTGGTGGCCTGCCCCTGGCCTCCAAACATGAGCCTGCAATCCAGTTCTGGTGGCTGAGAACCGGGGCCTGGCTACCTGGAAGCCACAGGAGCTGGGGGAAGTCCCAAGACCCCTGGGAGACTCTGGAGGAGGGGCTGGGCTAAGGACAGGGGTTGAGGCCAGCTCTGCTCTCCAGATGGGCTCATCCAATGTAGTGGCTGCTCGGGGGGCTAGTACAGTGGGGGCCAGGGGTTCTGCAGTAGGCTGGGGTGCTGGAGTGGAAAATCGGCGGATCTCCTGCACTCGGGCAGTTTTGGGGGGCCCTAAGGAGCTGGGGCCAGGAGTCTGGGGAACCTCATCGAAACAGAACATGGCAGTTTTAAGTTGGTAGGGCTGGTGCCGCATGAAATCCAGAGCCTTGATACCCTGCTTGGGGGTCGCCCGAGGACCCTGGGACTGGGCCTTATTAGGGAGAGTTCGGGCAGCCTGGGGGAAGAAGGGTGAGAGCAGTGGGTTGTAAGCAATAGGAGGTGGGGCACGGATGTTAGGTGAATATTTCCAGGAAGGGGGCAATGAGGGTGTAGGGGAAGGGCTTCTGGGACGAGGGCCAAGGCCAAGGCCAGGACTAGGTGTAGCTTCCACCACATACCTGTCTGCTCGGCTTTGCCGCTTGGCAAACAGCTCCCCACCCCTGCCCTGAAGCCTTGTGGGCTCAGGGATTGCAGCCAAAGGCGCTGCCCCATTCACTAGACCATCAAGGAACCCTCGAGACGAGGGTTTAGGAGCCACTGGAGGTGGAGTCTTGGGAGCCATCGGGGGCGGAGTCTTGGGTGCCATTGGAGGCGGGGTTTTAGGTGTCACGTGAGACGGAGTCTTGTAACTCCTGCCCCCTGGTGGCTGCATGAAGTTGCAGGCTTCAGCCCCGAGGCTCAGAGCATCCTCCTCTGGACCGGATTCCGCTCCGCCCGCGCGGGGTTTTTCATCCAGGTTCTGCACCAACGATAGCAGCTCGGGGTTGGGCGAGTTCTTCGTCTCCTCCTTTCCCGGACGAAACATCTGCTTCCGGGTTCCCCGTCGCCGGGCCTCCTGGAGGATGCCAGTGCGGGCAGCTGGCACGGAGATGCGCTGCTCCCGAGCGCTGGGGGGCTCAGGTGCCCCGGGGCCTGGGGCGGGAGCCTCTGGGCGCGCAGAGGGTCGCAGAGGGGCCGATAGGAAGATAGAAGCGGTGGAGGTCATGGCAGCGGCGCTAGGAGGAGCGGGAGGCTCTGGGGTTCCTCCTGGCGTTACAGGACGATTGGGGGCTGGGATGTACAGGGAACTGGTGGCTGTCACGGGGCCTGAGGAGCGTGGAGTGCAGGGGGAACCGGAGGCTGGCATGTGGCTGGGCAGAGGGGTGGGTCCCTGTGGAGGGGACTGGAAGGGCGGTGGGGCGGAGCTGAGGCCTCCCAGGCTTTCGCTCGCCCTCTTGGGAGCTAAGGGCCGGAAAATAACCGAAGTGGTACCTGGCCGCTGCCCTTGTAGGCCTGGGGTAAAGGGTTTGGCTGATCGGTTAAAGATGTTTGGAGCTGGGGTTGGGGCTCCACCGCCTGGGAAGAAGGGTCTGGGGCTGGCTACAGGGGCTGGTGAAGAGCTGGATGGGAGCATAGCTGCCTCCGGAGGAGCACTCTGGGCCCGAGGTGGTGACTGCAGGCCCTGCCCGTTGGGCATGGCTGCTGGACCATCCTGGGCCAGCTCCTGGGTGCTGGAGGCTGTGCGCTGGCGCTGCTGTTCAAAGAGCTGGGCCCCTCTGCCCGAGGCCTCACTCAGCTGCCCGCCCTGGGCCTCTGCTGCAGCTGAGCCTGGCCTGGCCAGCTCCATATCCAGATAGGGGCTGTCCCAGTCGCACTGGTTGGTGAGGCTGCGGGCGTCAGAGAAGGCCTCCTCGTCCAGCTCCGACTCGCTCGTTGGAGGGACCCCGTCTTCTTCCTCAGCACCTGTCCCAGCCGCAGCCCCAAAGCTCACTAGGGTGTACTTCTTGGCTCTCTGCCGTCGTTTCTTAAACATAAGCACCCCCTTGGAGTGGGGATTAGGGGCTGCAGTTAGTAGGGATGCAATCGTCCGGCATTTGGTCTTGGCTTCCTTCACACTCTTCTCTTGGAGACTCTCTGCCCGTTGCAGTTCTGAGGAGGCCGGGAGGGAGAATGGTCAGTGAACCTCTTCTAGTCCTGTTCCCCACAGCTTTCACCCCAACCCCAGCCCAGCCACTTTCTGCAGTCCTCCCACCTTCTGTCTTTTAACTGGCCTGATCCACAGTATCTCTTGCCTGTAATAAAGTCCTCCGACTTGGGGCAGAGTGGTAGGTGAAAGGTGAAACCAAGGACAGTTGAAGGGAAGGCAGAGTCTAGTTGGCTCCCTGACACCACTCTGATCACAGCTCTTCTACTTACCTCTCTCCCATCTACTCTGCTTCTATCTTCCCGGAGATGTGCTCTTACCCACCCCGCATACATTCTTCCCCTGCCTCCCACCATTCCTGGCTGGCTGGCAATGCTGGGGGTGGGGGGTAGGGTAGAGGACAATCACTTCCCATGGCAGCCAGGGAGATGAGGCAGGTCCCAGGGAGAGATAAAATGAGACCATGTTAGGGGGTTTTTCAGCAACTTAGGGACTTATCTCCTCTTCCCACCCTTTACCCCTATGATAGGGACACAAAGGACTCTTAGGAAGAAGGATCTTTATTCACAATTCCACCCACATTATGTAGTGCACATCATACACATTCATGGAAATAACACCCACCACACAGTTCAACAAGAATATGGGTCTAGGGGCGCCTGGGTTGCTCAGTGGGTTGAGCATCTGCCTTCAGCTCAGGTCATGATCTCAGAGTCCTGGGATCGAGCCCCGCATCGGGCTCTCTGCTCAGCAGGGAGCCTTCTTCCCCTTCTCTCTCTGCCTGCCTACTTGTGATCTCTCTCTTTCTCTGTAAAATAAATAAAAATCTTAAAAAAAAAAAGAATACGGGTCTAGTGGAGGCAGTTATGGGCATATTCTCTCATATGTACTTTTCTCTCTCATTCACATATACCCCAGCTTATATACACCCTAGTTCACATATACACATATAAATACACATGTACCCCCACAAAAACACAGTCACTCAAATACCTTCACACACATGCATACTCCTTCTTCCCAGTTGCCCCTGCAGAGACCCTGTTGCTAACAGTTTGGACAAAATTTTACGACTGATATTGGCCTTCCAACCACCAGGGCACCCCTCTGTGCTTCACACCCCTGCTACTCACAGCCAGGGATAGCCTCAGATCCGAGATGCAGGAAAAGCCAGAGTGCTGCTCTCCAGTGCAACCCTCCAAATCTTTAGGATATCTCAAGGTCACCAGCTAAATATATTCCACCACCAACCCCCACCCAGCTGGGATTGGAGTGGGGTGGGCTTCTTTGGGGGTCAGCCTTCTAGGTAGAGAGCCACTAACAGGCAGCCACACAAGGACTAGGTATGAAGGGGAACCTGGGCAGGGCTTCCCATGCCATGTGGTGCCTGGGAGGTGGGGCCAGGAAATGGGAGAGCCTGCCCTGCTGCTAGGACCCTGCCTTAGGCACAGATTCTCTCTGATCTATGATCCCCAGTTCCTCCTGAAAAATTCTTGAAATTCCATCCACTTTCCACTCAAGATACCAAGCTCCTTTCTAGTTAGGGTTTTCATGCCACCCATCCCAACGTCTGTACTACAGAATTGTGCTGTGCGTGAGAGATAGGCACTGGAGTCAGGGTTCAGTTCGGGTTTTTGGTTCTTGGTAGAGTTACCTCACTTCATTGAAGTTCATTTTTCTCATTGGTAAATGAGCATGATAATGGCTATCTCATAGGATTGCTATGAGGACTAAATGAGGTAGTGTAGGTAAATTTAGCATTTCATGGCAGCCCTGAGGCCCACGGTGAGTAACTATGACTATTAAAGCTTTCTTGACACCAGGTACACATGTATACAGACACTTGCTTGTTCACGCATATATTCTCCCATGGATTCCCATATACATGCCTTCATGTATTCACAGATTCACACTTCTTTCTCTCACACACACTCCCTCCCCATGAGTTTTCTATAGCTCATGCGGTCACAAACCCCTTTGACATGTGGCCATAGCATCAGCCCATTCTGAGAAAGGGGCAGTGAAACTCTCCTGAGAAAAGAAGGAAGAAGAAGTCAAAAAGGAGGAAGGAATAAGGGAATAAGACCTTTCCCAAAGACATCTCTTCCTAAACCTTTGATGTATTCCCCTCCATTCTAGATCCCAGAACTCTCTTGGCTATGGGAGGGTAGTACCTGCATAGAATGGGTCTTGGAGCTCAGAAGCTGGATCTGGGGCTTTGTTGCAGCTGGCTTGGCTGAAGGGCTCTTGGCTGATGGGCTCAAAGGTTTCCATGCCGAGAAATGCAGTGTTGGCTGGAGCAGGACCAGCTTGAGCCACCCCCCACGCCTTTTAAAGCCCCTTTGTCTTGTCCCCAGAGCTGGCAGCTGAATGAGCTCACTGTGCTATTTTTGGAGCCTAGCCCCCTCCCGTCTCTCTGCTGCCCCACAAGCCCCGGTGTGATGGACGTGGACACCTGCCTACCCTTCCTCCCACCCCCACCCCACTGGACAATGAGGTTTGCTTGGCTAAAAATATCCCTGAGCAACTAACTGCAGTCTTACCCAGCACCATAGGAAGGGAGGGGTGCTAAAATGAGAATTGGGGATAAGCATGGGATCCTGGGCATGCATCTGGAATTTCTTTGTGGGATATTGGACATTCTCAGGTATGTCATACTCTAAATCAATGTCCTTAGCCCCTTTCCAGACTTAGACACACAAAACTCTATGGATCAGAAATCAGAATGGTAGAGGGGAGGAATGAGAGATGAGAACTAGAGGGGGTAATCCTAGATTTTCAACATGACAAGAAAAAGCCTCTGGAGTAAAGGCATGGGACAGGGAGAAAGTTCACCATTAGACCTTGTTCTGTAGCTCACATCAAAAATAGCAAAGAGCCTGAGATAAGTGGTACAGGCTTTTTCTGCCCAGGCTTACATTCTTGCATGAGATAAGGAGTCGAAGATCCCTCCCTCTACCACTTCCTAGGGATCTCATGACTATCCCATATGCTCCCAGTCCCCAGGAACGCAGATGAACTTAGAAAGGTCAAAGGTAGCTCTGATGCTATGCCTGAAATTAACACTGAAAAGCCCCTGCCCTGCTTCCAAAAACTCCCCTGCATCATGTCTGAACTCTGCCCTCACCTGTCCTACACTTAGCAAAATCAGAGCAACAACAAAAAGCAAACCCTTTGTTGATTTCATGTCCCTTTCCAACTTCCCTACTCACTCTGTTCCTGGGTTGGGTTGAACCACCTACACCTTTTGCCAAACTGGTTAAAACAGTAAAAATAATGGGGACTGTGAGAATAATTATTTTCCCCTTCTACTCATCTCTCATCACTTGTCCCCAGGACTATATCCAAAGAAAGCATAAAGTATGGTTATGGAGAGGTAGATTTAGGATTCAGACCGAAAGATCCTGACTAGGGTAAAAAGGGTTTGGGCACTTACTGGCTTGCTTGGCCTTCTGGGTGTAGGTAGTAGTGAGGTCTTCTGCCACCGGATGGGGAACAGGCCCCACCATAGGGATGAGATCAGGGCCAGGACGGAGGGGGCCGTGGGGCAACAGCAGGGCCTCGGCTGGGGGTAGCTGAAGGGCTGTCCCACCCTCCCAAGATGGGGAGCTCACGCGGCTGTCACCCTGACTGGGAGGACTAGCGGCTGCAGGTGCTGGCTCTGCAGGGCTGTCGGATAGGTAGACCTCATCAGGTAGGGCTCCCGGAGGGGAGGGCCTCGTGGGGCCTCTGCGGCGGGGTCGGCGGGGCTTCTCCTGGGCGGCAGGGCCATCGGCATCACTGTCTGTCTCTCCGTAGTAAGCTTCACTGTCAGGGGGTGAGAGGAGGCTCCCAGGCTGAAGAGGCTGGGGGACTGGAGCGCCAGGGGGCTCAGGACTCAGTGGAGATAAGGGTGACAACACCTGAAGCTCACCAGGGGATGGAGACCGCACAGGCCCCTCATCCTCTACCCTGGATGGGAAAGAGGACAGGACTTGAGAAATGGGCTGGGCCACTGACAGCTAGTGAGATCCAGAGGGATGGGAGAAGGAAGGGAGGGAGAGAGGGGACTGAATGAATAGGCAGGGAAGAGTGGGGATCTGCAGGCAAACTGGGAGGCAAATGTGCTGGAAGTGCTGTGAGTGGATATGGGCTTAGAGGGAGATGTGATGGTAAGGAGACAGACAAGGGCTCAACTTGGGCTCAAAGTACACTCAAATACCCACTTGACACCCCAGCCCTTAATTGCGGATACACTAGAACCCCCTGGGAGGCACTGACAAACATCTATACTCCAGCACAAACTTACAAGCAGAAGTGGGCACTTAGTAGTAGCTGAAGCCAGGCCAGTAAGACATAGAACTGAGACAGGGATTGGGAGCCCTGGGCTAGGGGGGTGAGCTGGGCTGGGGTGGGAGGGGTCCATACCTCCGCACCGTGAGGACCAGTTGACTCCCTGAGGCATCAATGAGGCTCATGGCACTGGCATGAGAGAGGCTGGTGCAGGAGACCCCATTGATGGCTAAAAGCTGGTCCCTCTCTCGGAGTCCTGCTCTGCCAGCCTGGCTCCGTCTTCGGATCTGAGGTTGGGAGGAGAGATTGTAGGTGAGGGAGGGCTCTAAGTGGGAATAGAATGAAAGGAGTCAGGACAGCAAGGACCTATGCATGGAAGGGATATACTTTGCAGGGTAAGAAAGGATGGGGAGGAACATGGAGCTGCAGTTGAGGGGGCCTATCTAGAGGGAAGAAGGCACAGATTAGAGGGAGTAATATACATCATACATCATATGAGGGGAGGCAGGGTAATCACCAGATCAAAGAGGCTTGGGGAAAACTGCAGAGTGGAGGTACTAGAAATGGCAGTTGGATCCCCTAAAGATTTCCCTTCAAGGGCAGTATCTTTACTAGCCAATGGTTCTCTTCCAGGCCATTACCTACACAGTCAAGATTTTAGAACATTATTCCAGACTGGAGGGAGTCTAGCAGATCCTGGGAGACTGTAGCTGCGTATGTATATGTGTGCCGTGCGTGCACACGGATGTACATATGGGAAAGTAATAATAATAGTAGTAATGGCTATCATTTGTTGAGTGGTTGCTAAATGTTAGGTATGGTGCCAAGCATTCTACATGTATTATTGCATTTAATCCTGAGAATGGTTCTATGAAGTAGGTACTGTTATTACCCACATATTATAGATGAGAAAACTAAGCCTGTGTGGTGAAACCACATAACAGCTTCATCTGACAGGCCAGACCTTGCCATAACCCTCCTAGCACCTAAAAAGTCTTGCCTCATGAGAGAAAGGGTCTGGTGATGGGAAAGAGGAGCCCTGAAGGCCTGGGCAGGGTAGGGCAGGGTAGGGCAGGGTAGGGCAGGACTGGGTAAGATAGCCTCAGCTCATCACATACCAATATAGTTAAAGAAAAATTAGAACCTTCCCTATATTCCTGGAATTTGGAGTAGAGGCATAGAGTCAGGAATGCAAAGACTGGACGGCCAGAACTGGGCCCCTGCTTCTATGGTGCCACAGAGAACTGAGGCAGTCTTTCTTTTTTTCTGCTCCCAGAAACCAGGAATTCTTCTCTAAGAGCCCTCCAACCCCCCGCAAGAAGCTTGTGCTTAGGAACTACTCCTCCCACCGGACGAGCATGCTTCCCTGCCCACCTGCCCACCCCCACTCCTCTTCTCCACAGCCTCCCACCTCTCCCCCAAAGGCCACCACATGACTCTTTCCAGATTCCCCTGGGTTCCCCTTTCCCTGAAACCTCAATCATAGGGGCTCTCCCTTACCTTGGACACCTGTAAAGGTTTCCTCTGCTCGGCCCCCCCCTGAAGTCGGAAACCCCAGGGGGCTCCCCCTGACAATGTGACCAGCACCTTCTCCTCAGCACCCATCGCTCAGCTTGGCCTATGGCCCTCGGAGTTTGGATAGTGTCCCAGGGAGAGAAGTCGAGGCGCTGGTACCCCGTCCGGCCTGTCTGTATGGCTGTCCTACTCCTGCTGCCTCAGGCCTTCCCCCCCCACACCACACACCACAGGCAGGCAACTTGGCCCTGGGAACGGTACAGTCCAGCACACATGTCCTGTCAATCTGAGCCCTGCTCAAAATAGTTGCGGGCTCTACTCCCTTCCCTCCCCCAGCTGTATTACATCCAAAGCTAATTATAGTAAAAACTTCTGCCCTCCCCTTTTGCGCATTCTCCTACATGGGTCTTTCACTCAGGACTCTGAGTACTAGCTCCAACTAATACACATACTTTCAGGGACTGGGCCTCCCCTGATAGGATCACAGACAAATCCCAACTGCTTTCCTCCAAAGCTCATTTCAAAGTGGCAGCAGCAGGGGCTTCAGTTCCATGGCAAGGAGAGGCTGGACTTGTCCCTCAAGTTCACAAGCTCCCCAGAAGTGTGCCCCCTTGCTGTATTAATGTGCCTGTTAATCAAAATGGAGATCCATACCTCACTGCAGTGCTGAGTGCAGTATAGCTTTTAAAGCTCCTGGCTTCCAAATATAAGACAGCATATAGGATTATATAATGAAATAATCTATTTATGTGTATATATAATGATTCCCAGGTCTCAGCTCTAGGAATTCAGAATTTATTGGCCTGGTACCCAGTATTGCTGTTTTATTTCATTTAGTTTTTTTTTAAGATTTTATTTATTTATTTGACAGACAGAGATCACAAGTAGGCAGAGAGGCAGGCAGAGAGAGAGAGAGAGAGAGAAGGAAGCAGGCTCTCCGATGAGGAGAAAATCCGATGCAGGGCTCGATCCCAGGACCCTGGGATCAAGACCGGAGCCGAAGGCAGAGGCTTAACCCACTGAGCCACCCAGGTGCCCCTCATTTTTTTTTTCCATTTTTTTTTAATGCTTTCCCGATTTCAGCAACTGTTGTAATTGTCCACTTCGCGATTCCCTGTTCATTTAGCCCCTGAATTTTAGGGACTTGCCAAAAATTAGAAGTCCAAGCCTAATTCTACTTTTTTTTTTTTTTAAAGATTTTATTTATTTGTTTGACAGAGAGAGATCACAAGTAGACAGAGAGGCAGGCAGAGAGAGAGAGGGAAGCAGGCTCCCTGCTGAGCAGAGAGCCTGATGCGGGACTCAATCCCATGACCCTGAGATCATGACCTGAGCCGAAGGCAGCGGCTTAACCCACTGAGCCACCCAGGCGCCCCTAATTCTACTTTTTAAATAAGCAACGATGCAAGAATATCTAGACAGCAAGAGTTTTACAGAACAAAACACAATTCTTTTTTTTTTAAATGAAGGCATAATTGTCATCTTAACACCTTAGTCTCTCTCTCTTTTTTTCTCTCTCTCTCTTTTAAAGATTTTATTTATTTATTTGACAGAGACAGAGAGATCACAAGTAGGCAGAGAGGCAGGCAAAGAGGCGGGGGAAGGGGTGCCTGGGTGGCTCAGTGGGTTAAGCCTCTGCTCAGGTCATGATCTCAGGGTTCTGGGATTGGAGTCTGCTTCCCCCTCCCCCTCTGCCTGTCTCTCTGACTACTTGTGATCTCTCTCTCTCTCTGTCAAACAAATAAATAAAAATCTTTTAAAAAAATGGGGGGGGGGGAGCAGGCTTCCCGCTAAGTAGAGAGCCCGATGGGGGGCTTGATCCTAGGACCCTGAGATGTTGACCTGAGCTGAAGGCAGAGACTTAACTCGCTGAGCCACCCAGGTGCCCCAGAACACGATTCTTCTGCCATACCTTTATTTTAGGCAAGCCAGTATCACGAAACACTAAGATAGCCTAACAATGGGTTCTGAATGTCCTAAGTCTATGCTATTTCTTTTATCTTTTCTGTTTTTTCTTTTCCTTTCCTTTCTTTTCTTCCCTCCCTCCTTCCCTTTCTTGTTTTTTTTTTTTTTTTTCTTTTTTCCTTTGGTATATCCAAGCAGATCGAGACTCTGACTAATGTCTGGGAGATAGACACAGAAGCTTTGCCAGCCTTCCCACTCAAGGCTCATTGTTCCGGGATATCTGGTTCTTTTTATATTCCCTCTTGGGGAGAAATGATTGATAGTGTAACATTGAGTCATAACTCTAATGCCTCATTCAGGTTGGCATCATGGACAGGCTCTCTCTATTCTTTCATAGCAACATTAAACAGGTATACTTTGGGATCACAGTATACTTTGGATTTTGGTTTTTTGTTTTTTACAGAATCTTTGCAAGGATGCACATTCCATTTTTGCAATAATATTAAATATATCTTGCTTCCTCAAAATCTTATTGGCATTTTAAATTTATTTATTTATTTATTTACTTGAGAGAGAGGGAGAGAGCTCAAGTGGGGCAGAGGGGCAGAGGGGCAGAGGCAGAGGGACAAGCTGACTTCCCACGGAGCAGGGAGCCTGTCACTGGGCTCCATCCCAGGGCCCTGAAATTATGACATGAGCTGAAGGCAGATGTTTAACTGACTGAGCCACCCAGGTGCCCCCTTATTGGCATTTTTATTGGTATTGTGAACTTTATAGATTAATTTAGGGAGAATTGACATATTTTTCATGTTAGATTTTGCTACCCACTGGAATATTCCTAGATGGCAAGGATTTTTCTCTGTTTTGTTCAGTTTTGTATCTCCAAAGCCTAGAAAAATGCCTGGCATGCTGTAAGTGCTATTTTTAGTGAATGAGTGAATGAATGAATGGGATGCATTTACATTTGTTTTGATCTTATGTTCCTCAGAAGTGTTTTAAACTTTCTTTGTATAAATCTTGTACATTTTTCTTTCTTTTAAAATTTATTTCTTTATTTAAATTCCTGTATAATAGTTAACATACAGCGTTACAGTGTTAGTTTCAGATGTACGATATAGTGATTTCACAATTCTATACATTACTCAGTGGTCATCAGTTCATCTATTTCACCTATTCCTCCACCCACTTCCCTTCTGGAAACCATCAGTTTATTCTCTATTGTCTTTTTTATATATAAGTCATTTATATATATATATATATATATATATATATAAGTCTATATATAGTCTTATTTATATAAATATATAATAAGTCTATTATTACTTTTTTCTCTGTTCATCTATTTTACTTCTTAAATTCTACATATGAATGAAATCATATGGTATTTGTCTTTTTCTGACTTATTTCAGTTAGCATTATACCTTCTAGATCCACCCATGTTGTTGCACCTAGTTTTGCCATTTTAACAAGTACCACAGAAGGGGTGCCTAGGTGGCTCAGTTGGTTAAGCATCTGACTCTTCCTTTCAGCTCAGGTGATGATCTTCCTGGTCAGGAGATTGAGTCCACCTTGGGCTCCCTGTTCATCAGGGAGTCTGCTTCTCCTCTACCTCTCCCCTTGCTTGTGTACTCTCTCTCTCTCTCTCTCTCTCTCTCAAATAAATAAATAAATAAATAAATAAATAAATAAATAAATCTATCTTAAAAAAAGAAGTACCACAGATGATTCTAATGTGCAATGCTGGGCAATGTAGAGGAATTCTAATCAGCCCTACCCCACTTGAATTCTTGCCTCTTCCATAAAGCCTTTCCTGCCCATCTCCCAATATCCTTCCTATAGAATTAATCCTTCCTTTCTCTGGGCAACATATGTATCTCATTCATATTTTTATTGCACTTCTCAGTCAATATTGTAGTTTGTTTATAAGCCTGTATTCTTTTTTGATGGTGAGAAATTTGAAAGGACTATATGCAATAGCCCATCAACAGGCCAGAGAGCAATGCCTGATGTGATGGGTAAATATTGGCTAAATTAAATAACTTCTTCTGGTGCACATTGTGGTCATGGAAAGATGGCTACAGATGGTGTGCCATAAACATGCCAACCCATGTTAATAATAAACTTTTTACTTATTTTTAGGTTTCCATTTAATGAATGTAGTCGAAGAGATCTCTTTCTGTTATAGATCATAACATAATGATGCTGTAAGTAGAGTTATCAAAAGCTATAGAGTTTCCTGGAATAGCTGCTCTACTGGTGTGCTAAATGCTGTTTGCCTTGGTGTATCATGTAGTCAGAAAATACTTGGGGCTTAGTGTCTAGACTGGACTTGGAATCTTGCTCCACCATTTATTAGCTTGGGGAGTAACTTGACCTCATCAGTAAAAAGATTATCTAAATGTACTTTCTCAAAATTTAAATTTTATTATTATTATTATTATTATTATTATTTTAGAGAGAGAGAGAGAACAAACTGGGGGAGGGGCAGAGGGAGAGGAAGAGAGAGAATCTCTCTCTTTTTTTTTTAAGATTTTTATTTATTTATTTGACAGAGAGATCACAAGTAGGCAGAGAGACAGGCAGAGAGAGGGGGAAGCAGGCTCCCCGCTGAGCAGAGAGCCCGATGCGGGGGACCCTGAGAACATGACCTGAGCTGAAGGCAGAGGCTTAACCCACTGAGCCACCCAGGCAACCCAAAGAGAGAGAATCTTAAGCAGGCTCCACAACCAGTGCAGAGCCCGAGGTAGGGCTTGATCTCACAACCCTGAGACTATGACCCCAAGATCATGACCTGAGTGGAAATCAAGACTCAGATGCTTAACCGACTGAGCCACCCAGGAGCCCCTCTAAATATCCTTTCACTCACTAGTCAAGTATTTATTACTTGCTACATGTCAGCCATTGTGCAATACCAGCGACTTTCCTTTTTTTTTTTTTTTTAAGATTTTATTTATTTATTTGACAGACAGAGATCACAAGCAGGCAGAGAGGCAGGCAGAGGGAGAGGAAGGAAAGCAGGCTTCCGTTGAGCAGAGAGTCTGATTCGGGAATTGATCCCAGAACCCTGGGATCATGACCTGAGCAGAAGGCAGAGGCTTTAACCCACTGAACCACCCAGGCGCCCCAATACTAGCGACTTTCAATTAACCTTGAGGGCACATTAGAATCACCTGGCAAAAAAAATTTTTTTAAAGATTTTATGTTTAGGGGCACCTGGGTGGCTCAGTGGGTTAAAGCCTCTGCCTTCGGCTCGGGTCATGATCTCAGGGTCCTGGGATCAAGCCCCGCATCGGGCTCACTGCTCTGCGGGGAGCCTGCTTCCCTCTCTCTCTGCCTGCCTCTCTGCCTACTTGTGATCTCTCTCTGTCAAATAAATAAATAAAATCTAAAAAAAAAAAAGATTTTATGTTTAAGTAGTCTCCATACCCAGTGTGAGGCTCGAACTTACAGCCTTGAGATCAAGAGTTGCATGCCTTACTGACTGGGATAGTCAGGTGCCCCTCACCTGGAAAAATTTTATTTTATTTATTTAATTTTTTAAAAAAGATATTATTTATTTATTTGACAGAGAGAGAGAGAGAGAGAGAGTGCACAAGTAGGCAGAGCAGCAGGCAGAAGGAGAGGGAGAGGCAGTTGCCGAGCAGAGAACTGGATGTGGGGCTCGATCTCAGGACCCTGAGATCATGACCTAAGACAAAGGCAGACACTTAACCGACTGAGCCACCCAGATCTGGAAAAATTTTAAAGCTACTAATTCCCTAAAATAAGACAGTGTATACAGGATTAGATGACTGTGTAATGAAATAATCTACTAATATATTTTGTATATTTAATACATATAGCAATATAATTAATCACATATAGTAATATATGTACATGTAATATATGAATTATTTATAATAGTAATACAATTACATGTAGTAATATGTAATTACATGTAGTAATATGTAATATAATTAATTACATATAGTAATGTGTACAGGATTAGATGATTGTGTAATGAAATAATCTACTAATATATTCATATATTATAGTATACATATAATATATACATATATATTTATAAATACAATAAATATTTTTCCTTTGCTGAGATGAGAATTAAATGGGATAAATTATGTGAGAATGCTTAGCAAAGGGCATAGCCTAAGACAGGTGCTCAACAAATGTTAATTGAATTTGGCAAATTACTAATCTAGACTGGTAGGTCTCAGTCTTCAGTATGCTATTGAATTGTCTGGAGGGCCTAAAACCTTGTCTTACCGGGTTTCACCTCCCAAATTTCTCATTCAATATGTCTACAGTGGGTCTGATATTTGTGTTTCTAACAGGTTCCCAGGTGATACTGATACTGTTGATCCTAGGATCACACTTGGAGAACCACTGAGCTCAACTATAAACTCTTGAGGACTGGAGTAATTGGCCTGCTTACTAAAGCATGTTCAGTGCCTAATATAGCTTCCAGCACAGAATAGAAGTGCAATTTTTTTTTTCAATGAATGAACCACTTCGTGACTCAGAATAACTGTTACTTACTGTCAATCACAGGAGAGCAAGAACTTTTGTTCACTACTGTATTTCCAGAACCAAGAACATGGCTTGGCACACAGCAGTGCTAATAAAATAAAATAAAATGAAAATTGTTAAATGAGTAACTGTTATACAAAGGATTAAGTGAAGTCATGTGTATTTTTAAAAATCCTACAACTATTAGCTACAGTATTGTTATTCATTAAATGGGATAATAATTACTCCAGGAATTGTAGCTCTTCCAAGAGGCTGGGGGCATTCTGAGTGCAGAGATCATCAGGCTCTGGCAGAGCCCTGCATCTAAACTAAGCCACTGTATAAAAATGGTTAATTAACAACATCTGACATTTACTGAGTGATTGCTATGGTGCCAGGCGATCTATGTGACTTGTCTAAATCCATCCTCCTTGAAGGGCATTTCATATTCTCTCCCATTTTACAGATGAAAGAAACTAAGGCAGAGATAGCTGCCGAAGCTGGTGACTGCAAAGCCAGTACTCGAAGACATGAAGTCTGAAAGCAGTGTTAGTACCCTTTATCATATTACGTTCCGTAATCTCGTAACCAGCAAAAGTCATAGGTGAAAGCAACTTTGTAGACGGAAATCAATGGGGTCAGGGGTCAGCAGGAAGTGGCTACAGGATTCTAGGTCAGAGGTCACTAATGCGTCATAGGAGGATTGTGGGGGCGTTGCTAAAGATAGTTTGACTTAGCCTTCTAGATCGCGTATCGGTTAGTGGGACCGTAAAGTGACCAGAACATCTGAGAATAAATAAAAGGCGGAAATGCATAAGAATGCGGGGGCAGCCATGATGGGAGGGGGCGGTGGCGCATGCGCGGCATCCGGGTCCTTGAGCTCGCGTCTACTGCAGACGTGGCAGAAGGAGTGTTCGGCCCCGGAGCGTAGGGGAGGAACTTCCGGGGACGACGCTCCGGCCCCCTCGGAACCGGAAGTTGGGCCTGGGAGCCTTGACGTTAGGAACGAAGTCGAACCTGGATCTGGAGCCGGGTGAGGAGTGGCATGGGGAGGTTGGTGGGTAGGAAAGCAGGGGAGAAGCCGGAGTATCATGGCCTGATCGGGGTCCGGTCTGAGAAGGAAGGGAGGAGCCTGGGGGCGGGGCACAGGGAGAGACCCTCGCCTCACGCATCCATAATCCTGGATCAGTTCTGGACCCTCCCTTCTCTCCTCCAGGCCCAGGTTCCGGCTCCCGCTTCCTGCCCGGAGCCTGTTGAAGGGCGCAAGTCGCTCGATCTCCATGCTTAATGGACCACCCCTCTCGTCATGGCCCGAGAAGCTAGTTTGTCTTCTTGGTCTAGATGCCTGGCGCGCCCAGCCTCCACAAGCTCGACTACTTTCAGAGTTCTAGGAAGCTTGCCCCGCCCCCTGGGTTGTCACCCTCGGCTGTCTACCCAGAATGGAGTCCAGACTTGAGCCTTACTCCAAACTCTTGGGTGTGAGATTATTGCCTGGTGAAGAAGCTCCTTTCCTCCGACCCCCGCCCCCACCCTGACTTTAGGAAGATAGAGGGGAAGGGGTCATCCGTCAAGCTGTGTTGTGACCTGTACAAGGTTTAGGATTTGGAAGAACAGTTCCTGGGATGGTTGTAAGGTTAAAGAATTCTAGTCCAGAAGCAGCTCAGCTTTTCTATAATCAAGATGACCCTTTCTAACAAATGGGAGAGGCCCATTGTTCTACTGCAGCAGCTGTGAACTGTCCTGCTTTCTTGTGCCCCATCTGTCTATAGAGGAGTTGGAATGATCAGGTTGTTTAGATGTGATTAGACATTCTTATTCTTGGAAGGACCTGGAAAAGTCCCTCTAATTCATTCCTCTGTTGCTGGGCAAGATTGTAATAACTTTAGTGGTGGCCTAGATTCATGACAGGCAATAAGGAAAGCAGAAACAGAATAGTTGGAGGAGTGCATAGGATTTGGGGTACTCCTAGCTCCTCTGCTTGAAGCTTAGATAAATGATCTTTTTACATGAAATTTAACTTTGTCATTGATCCTTGAACTCTTTTCCTAGGTTATTGTGAGAAGTTTTTGTGCCTGGCCTGCACTTAATAGTGTCTGGTACCCTACTAGAGTTTTGGGGTATCCTTTACATTTAATAATTTTAATGCTTCAGTTCTCAAATCCAACATTCTTTTGGTGGAAAGACTGGAAATGGAGTAGCATTTGAATTGTTGCGGTTCAGCCAAAGAATTTCATTTCTCTAATCAGTTACTCTAAAATTTGTCTTTTGAGGAGGAAGGAATTTAGCTGATATGTTTTGTATGTGTAGCCTGAGTGATTACAAATGACTAGCAGATTAGAGGGTATTCAGTTTTTGTTGAATGAGCCCATGCTAGAGTGAATGAGTTAGAAGTGGGAACATTGTTTCATTTACTTAATATCACAGTAGTTCATCAGTAGCAGGACTCCTTGTGTGACTAGACACTAGAAATCATTACCACTGGGGAATGGAGGCTGTTGCCCCATTCCATTGGGCATGTCTGAAGTTGAAATTTATATCCTTTTGGCAGTGACAAAGCATGGGGTTCACAGTAACAAATCTTTACTTTGAGGAGGTAATCTGGCTACTGGCTGGGACAGAAAATGATAAAGATCCTGTGGTAGTATGGGAACAATTAGGCTGATAACTGCCTGATAAGGTCAGTCCTTTTTTGTGTCTACTTCCTACCCTCTATAATTGCTCTGTCTTTAGAAAGTTGATTTCGACTAATTTCTCACTTCTGTTTCATCTTAGGTGAGATCGAGTTGGGGATGCACTCATAATGAATGTCAACCAGTCAGCTCCACCTCTGCCGCCATTTGGGCAGTCCCAGCCTGTCTACCCAGGGTATCATCAATCCAGTTATGGTGGGCAACCAGGATCCACAGCCCCCCCAACTCCTTATGGAGCCTACAATGGCCCAGTACCAGGCTATCAGCAAACACCTCCCCCAGGTATGTTTCCAAGTTTCCTTTGAGCTAAGGATGGGAATCAGTAGTGTTCAGGTTGGGTGGTATTGCCCTACCTAAGCTGCCTAGAGAGTTGGGGTGGCTGGGATTGAGGAACATGACTCTGGCTCTCAGGCATTGAGAACTTTGTGGGCAGTCTGCCCTTCCCTGTTTTTATGGAGTTCTGCCTTAAGACATCTAGTGGAAGCACATCTTCAGTTTCAGGGGCAGTTCACCTCATGTGAGTGTCACCCTGTACAGCCTCAACTGCCTACTTTGTTCACGGCTGGAGGGCAGGGCTGTGGTCACAGCTCCTCTAGAGCCTGTAACCAGGACTGAATGTTTCCTGTTGACCTAAAGTCTCCCTGAAACCACTTGTTCTTCATATATGTTGATAATGCCTCTCACTGAATTAATGGTTCTATCCGTAAATGACCCTGTGACAGAGAAACTAATTCATGGATAAAAAGTATGGTGTTTGTGGGCTTCTCCTATCTTTTTGCTCATATCATTCTCTGCCTTTGCTTGAGTTTCATTTGCTTCTTAGATGCTCTGTAATATCAGGGCAATAAGAGAAGACTAATCTGGTCCTGCCTTAGGATCAGTGTTTGGCTTTTTCATTACTTTTTCAAGAAGAGCAGCTGGTACTCTATGGATTGTCCATATGGCTTTTTGGGAAATGGCTAACAGTAGATCTTTGATTAGGCTAGCTGAAGACTTAGGGTATGCCAAACATTTTATGCTTTTTAAGATAGTAAGTTCCATGCAGGGATATGGGGAAAAGAAGACACCGAGGAGGCATAAGTAAAATTTGGGAAATGAATGAAGTATTACCATTTTAATTATAATTTAGAAAAAAATTTGTAAAGTGGTGAGATTAGGTCTCAGGTCTTTGGAAGAGCCTTATTCTGGGTTGAGACTTTGGCTGGACAGAGTCCATCTCCAAACTCTCAAGTCCTGGCTTATCAAGATGGAGTTTGGCATTGCCTCAAGAGGAAGTTTTGTTAATGAAAGGAAAACATATCTGGTTCTGTGATAGCTAGTGAGCAGGTTCAGAGATTGTCAAATCTCTACTGATTAACAGAGCAAAAGAAAAACAACTGTTTGAACAGGGGTCAGCAATATTTCTAAAGTGGTGTGCCAACTTACTAATTCCCTGCATTTCATGTGGGAAGGATGGTTGGGGATGGTATGCAGAAAGGATTGTTGGGGGAAGTAGAAATAGCTTCGATGCATCTCTGATGAGCAAAAGGATGGAGTACAGCTTTTATGAAGACAAAGGTGGCAGTACTAATGGGAAGGCAAATAAGTTGTCTTGACTGAACCACTGGTTCAGTCTCCAAACTGTGAGAACATTTCCCTGAGCCATGTGATATTGGAAGCATCAACACTCAAGAAGTGGATGAAAAGAAGATGGTTAAGATAATTAGAATATATGAAAAAGAGGTTGACAGAATGGTCTCCCCAAGAGGAGCCTTTCTTTACAATCTGGTTCAATAGATTACTTGATCATCTTCTGTATCAACTTTCCCATATGCTCTAAGTTTCTGAGTTCCAGAGTCGGATCTTTTTCTTAAAAGAGTTGACTTTCTAGGGTGCCTACCTGGCTAAGTTGGTGGAGCATGTGACTCCTGATCTTGGGATTGTGAGTTTGAGCCCCATGTTGGGTGTGGAGAATATTTAAAAATAAAAGTTGTTGTTTTTTTTTTTTAAGAGGTGACTCTTTGTTGAGGGTAAAAACATTAGACTGATCTGGATTGAATAAGAGTGTATAGTGATTAGGAAGCCTCTACATTCTTGTAGCTCTGCTTACAGCTTCACCTGTAGTATATCTGTCTAGGAGAGTGGAGACACTGACTGATCATCCATGTTCAGAATCTGCTATAACTAGAGTTACATGTTCATTCTATCCTTTTGATTGCAAAGCTATAGTATTGGGCCAGCGAAGGTCTGAGCTTATTTATCCTTGCTTTACATTCCTTGCTCAGGGTGGAGAAGAAAGTTATTTCCCAATCATTTAGTTTCTGTCCTTTACCCTCAGGTGTGTCAAGAGCCCCGCCTTCTTCAGAGGCACCTCCAGCCTCAACAGCACAGGCCCCTTGTGGCCAGGCTGCATATGGCCAGTTTGGCCAAGGAGATGTACAGAATGGGCCAAGCTCCACTGTTCAGATGCAGAGGTATGTGTTTGGGTCAACCTAAAATTGGTTTGATGAAACTAGAAGAATTAGGAATGGATGAGGGCCTGTTTCCTTTTCTTTTTCTTTGCCTTTCTCTTAGATCCTCTTTTCACTTCCCTCCACTTTTTTGTATTTTGTTTTCATTTTTCCAGGTTACTGGTGCTACTGTTGTCCACTCTGTAGATAATTAACCCATCTTCATACCTAAGTTCTTTTGTGTATTCTTTCTCTTTCTGTGAACTTGAATTTTTTCTTGACTAGACATATATCTTCAATAATTGCTACAATCCTGCAGAACCTACCCTCAGGGAGAAACAGGAAAAGGCGATCTCAGATTTATCTCTTATATACAACGGTCTCAGTACAATAATACACAATCACAAATGTGATTACTAAAAACAGTATATTTTTAAAATTTTGGATATACTGTCCTCATTCTCTAATAATTTTTAAAAAAATATTTATTTTTAAAAAGAGGTGACCTGGGGCGCCTGGGTGGCTCAGTTGGTTGAGCGGCTGCCTTCGGCTCAGGTCATGATCCTGGTGTCCTGGGATCGAGTCCCACATCGGGCTCCTTGCTCATCAGGGAGCCTGCTTCTCCCTCTGCCTGCCATTCTGTCTGCCTGTGCTTGCTCTCTCTCCCTCTCTCTCTCTCTCTGACAAATAAATAAATAAAATCTTAAAAAAATAAAAAATAAAAAATAAAAAGAGGTGACCTTGATGGATTCAAGAGTAGAAGTAGGGAATCAATCCTATTAGGAGGTTGTTGTAGTAGTTCAGGTTTAGGATGGTAGTGGTAGAGGTGGTGAGAAAGAGATCTGGGATATGTTTCACAGGTAGAGTCAATAGAATTGGATGTGAGATAAGAGAAAAAGAATAAGTCTGGATGTCTTTTAACCTGCTGGCTTAAGCAACTGGATAAATGGTGCTGTTTACTGAAGTGAGGTATATTTGAGGAGGAGAAGATTTTGGGATGTATTGAAGGGTTTTATTTTGTACATTATAGGTTTAAGAAGCTACTAGCTACCAAGTAGAGATATTGAATATGTAGTTGTATATACAGATCTGCAGGTGAGGAATAATGTCAGGACTAGAGATAAAAATTTGGGAGTCTTCAGCATAGAGATGTTATTTAATGGCATAGGACTAGATGAAGTCATTTAGAAAGTGATCACTGACAGTAAAGAACAGAATTGTGGGGTCATCTGGGTGGCTCAGTCAGTTGAGCATCTGCCTTTGGCTCAGGTCATGATCCCAGGTTCTGGGATCAAGTCCTGCATAGGGCTCTATTCTCAGAGGGGAGCCTGCTTTTCCCTTTGCCTGCTGCTCTCCATGCTTGTGCATACTCGCTTTCTCTTTCTCTGACAAGTAAATAAATAAAATAATTAAAAAAAAAAAAAAAGGAAGAGAATTGAGAACTGAGCCTTAGAGCCTTGGAGCTTACCAGCATTTTATTTTATTTATTTCTTTTTTTTAAAGATTTTATTTATTTATTTGACAGAGAGAGCACAAGTAGATGGAGAGGCAGGCAGAGAGAGAGAGAGAGAGGGAAGCAGGCTTCTCGCTGAGCAGAGAGCCCGATGTGGGACTCGATCCCAGAACCCTGAGATCATGACCTGAGCTGAAGGCAGCAGCTTAACCCACTGAGCCACCCAGGCGCCCGCTTACCAGCATTTTAAAAGGAGATCGGAGGAGGGGCCATCAAAAGACAATGAGAGCAGTAGTGAGATCAGAGATTAGTCAGGAGAGCGTGGCATCCTGAAACTAGGTGAAGAAAGTATTTCAGGAAGGCAGGAGAGTAATCAGCTATGTTATTTGCTGCTGAAAGGTAAGAGAAGAACTGAGAATTGATCATTGTGTTGGGTGAGGTTTGGCATCATAGACAAATGTGATTTCAGTGAGATATGAAGACAGCTATGTAGTTGGAGTGAGTCAAAGAGTTTCAGTTGGGTAGTAGATTAATACAATCTGAAAACCCTTTTGCTACAAACATCTAGAAAGGAGATAGGATATAGAAGCAAAAAATGTTTTTCAAGTGCATAATCAAGCTTAAAAAGAAAAAGTGAAATCCTTAAGTACCAGAGACCAAGTGAGAACTGAAAATCAGAGTGGTAAGTAGACACCATGGCTGCCTGTGGAGAGGGCGGGAATGATCATTTTGAGAACTTGAGGACTTCAGTTTAAGGAGGTGTACTGGGAATGGGGGATGAGTCCTTGGGCTTTTCTGCACTGGTGTTTGGACTTGAGACCTTATCTGTGAAGTGCGGTCCTGGGCCGCACCTTCAGTGAACAGGTAGACTAGGAAGAAAATCTGCACATTGGTACTGGGTGATATTAAGGAATCTTATTTCTTGTGGGCTGACTGTGGGTAAGTGGTGGGAAGAATGTCTTAGGACTGCAAATGGACACAAGGGAACTTCTTGGGTAATGAAAGTGTGCTAAAATTACGTTCTGGTCATGGCTGCACAACTCTATAAAATTTACTAAAACTCATTAAATTGTACACTTAAAAGGAATAAAGCTAATGGTATGGAAATTATATTTCAAAGCTTTTATTTTTTTATTTTTTTTTATTTTTTAAAGATTTTATTTATTTATTAGAGAGAGAGAGAGAGAGAGAGAGCATGAGCACAGGCAGACAGAGTGGTAGGCAGAGGCAGAGGGAGAAGCAAGCTCCCCGCTGAGGGAAGGAGCCCGATGTGGGACTCGATCCCAGGACACTGGGATCATGACCCGAGCCGAAGGCAGCCGCTTAACCAACTGAGCCACCCAGGCGTCCCTCAAAGCTTTTTTTAAAAAAAATGTCATCTTTGGTGTCGGTACTATTGGAGTATTTTATAGACAGAAATGTGAAACAACCACACTTCCTCAGCTTGGGGTGTAAAGGATTCTCAGAGGGAAAAAAGAAAATTGATTAGGCTACACAGAGGCTATTAGAGGAGAGCAGATAGTGGACTAGTACCTTGAAAGCATTAAGGGAATACAGTTGTCATTGTAGAATTATATACCTAGCTGAGAGAAAGCACAAATAAAGACATTTACAAACAGTCTCAGAGTTTACCATGTATAGACCTTGGTTGAGAAAATTATTAAGGGATGGGCTCAGGAATAAAAGGAAAATAAACCCAGAAAGAAGGATCTTTTTTTTTTTTCTTTTTTAAAGATTTTATTTATTCATTTGACTGAGAGAGACATAGTGAGAAAGGGAACACAAGCAGGGGAAGTGGGAGAGGGAGAAGCAGGCTTTCTGCTGAGCAGGGAGCACAATGCTGGGCTCGATCCCAGAACCCTGGGATCGTGACCTGAGCTGAAGGCAGATGCTTAATGACTGAGCCACCCAGGCACCCCCGAGAAGGTTCTTTAAAAAGAAAGGGAAGGGGGGGACGCCTGGGTGGCTCAGTTGGTTAAGCAGCTGCCTTCCGCTCAGGTCATGATCCTAGCGTCCTGGGATCGAGTCCCACATCGGGCTCCTTGCTTGGCGGGGAGCCTGCTTCTCCCTCTGCCTCTGCCTGCCTTTCTGTCTGCCTGTGCTCGCTCTCTCTCCCTCTCTCTCTGACAAATAAATAATAAAATCTTTAAAAAAAAAAAAAAAAAAAAAAGAAAGGGAAGGGGCACCTGGGTGGCTCAGTGGGTTAAGTCTCTGCCTTCAGCTCAGGTCATGATCTCAGGGTCCTAGGATTGAGCCCAGCATTGGGCTTTCTGCTCAGCAGGGATCCTACTTCCCCCTCGCTCTCTGCCTGCCACTCTGCCTACTTGTGATCTATCTCTCTCTGTCAAATAAATAAATAAAATCTTAAAAAATGAAAGAAAGGGAAATAAAAACTAAAGACATAGAGATGTAGCATAGACCAGTTCTTTGGTAATGTTTGGCTATAGGAGGAGCAAAAGCTTGAGGAAGGTATGAGGTTTTAGGGCAATTTTATTTGGCTGGATTTTTATTTTTTATTTTTTTTAAAGATTTTATGTGAAAGAGTGTGAAAGAAAGAGAGTACAAGCAGGGGGGAGGGTTAGAGGGAGAAGCAGACTCCTTGCCGAGCAGGGATCCTAATGTGGGACTCAGTCCCAGGAACCTGGGATCATGACCTGAGCCAGAGGCAGACACTTAACTGACTGAGCCACCCAGGTGCCCTCACTGGATTTTTTTAAAAACAACATAATTGAGATATAACTGACATGCCATGTAGTTCTCCCATTTAAAGTGTACAATTCAGTGGTTTTTAGTATATTCATAGATATGTGAAACCATCACCACAGTTTGAGAACATTTTCATCACCTCAAGAAGAAACACCATATCCTTTAGCTCAGTAGTTACTATTATTTTGCTAGTCCTTCATTCCCCCTCAACCCTAAGCCACCACTACAGTAGTTTCCCTTTCCACAATCCATAAGCAGATGATCCTCTCTCTGAGGTACTATCAGAGGATTAGTAGTACAATAAGATAAAGAGAACATATTAAAAAGCTATTCAACTTCATAAGTAATGAGAAAAGTACAAATCAAAAGCATAAGATTCTACTATGTATCCATCAAAGTGGCAAAATTAAAAAGTCTGATAGTCCCGGATGTTGCCGAGGATATGGAATAGTAGGATCTCTTACCCACTGGTGGTTGGATGCAAATTAGAACAACTACTTTGGGGAAATAATTTGGAATTATCTGTTAAAATTAAAGAAATACATACCTTGTGAGCTGGCAACTCACTCATAGATATATGCCTTAGAAAAATTCAGGTATATATAAACAAGTATATATGAGTGTTCATAGCGATGTTATTTGTAATATTAAAAAATTAGAAAAACTGAAATATCCATCTACATTAAAATACTTCAGTAAATTATGACGTTTATTTAGTGGAATAGCATTTAGTAATGACAGGCAATGCCATTTTAGGTGGAATTTCAAAATCATGGTTGAACAAAAGACACCAAACCCAAGGAGTATGTATGATGTGATTCTATATACAAAAGTTTAAAAAAGTGACAGAACTGAACTATGGTTTGTTGTTGTTTTGGTGGTGGGGAGAGACAGAGAGACTCTTTTTGCCCAGAGCAGGGCTCGACCCTCGGACTCTATCTTAACAACCCCGAGATCATGACCTGTGCCAAAATCAGGAGTCAGATGCTTAACCAACTGAGCCACCCAGGCACCCCTAAACTGTGTTGTTTTAAAGACAAGGAAATAAATATTAAGAAGTTAGGAAAGTAGTTAACCTCTGGGAGAAGAAAGGGAGCTGTGATGGGGGAGAGGCACACGAGGCCTTTGGTCCTAGTGTTCTATTTCTTGACTTGCTTTTTAGTTACGTTGGTGTTTGTATAATCATTAATACATATTTGTTTTATGTATTATTTCTATTTCCATTATATTTTACAATTAAAAGTAAAGTACATTGAACTAAGATCAGGTCTGGGCTGTATAGTTCCTAGGTTGGTTTGCTGCTTATACTCTTCATGTCTTTTCTATCTGCTCTGTCCTCATTTTGCTGTGAGGATTAAATTAAAGCACTTAGAGATGCTTTGTAAGTTGTAAAGCTATTTACAGATAATATTACTAGGGCATGTGGTGGAGTAACAGTGGGTAGTTGATAGAGTTGATATAGTTATACATATTAATGGAGTAGTAACCATGGAATATAATTATTCTGACAAGGATTTATGAGCACTGGCCATGGAGCTAATAGTATGTTTGTGGTACGGAAAACAAAAAATGCAAAGCCCATCAAAGAGCTTAGGGAGGTATAAGGTTCACTGGCATAACAGTCAGAAAATAGTAGTTGAATGAATGAATGAGTGAAGAGTGTTAAACTGCAACACTGTAGGAACTAAACAAATATAATAAAGTACAAATTTTTTAGTAGAGACAAAATAAGCAGAAAGAATAAATCAGAATTTCAGTGTAACTGACTATTGTTGTGAAGAAGTTGATTCATTTGTGAAATCCCATATGGAGCTTGTTATGTATAATAATCTATGTTGTAGATTTCTACGGTAATAACATCATAAAACACCAGTGCAGTTCCTCATGGATATGTAATGATACTGGAATGATTCTGTATTTATATTTTAATGTGCCATCTAATGCCATGGGAATGTCCAGTGTAGCTATCCAAGTAATGAGGCTTTTACTAGATAAACCCAGCTAGAAGGCTATCTGGTTTATGTCCTGTTTCTCTAGTCCCCTTCTGGTAGAGTTGGCATCATCTTTCTAATTAGTACAAAATGTCAGAGTCAGCTGACCTACTTTGCTCTTAACACCTTTGCCAGGATAAAGTAGTTAAGTACTTTGGTTTAAAAGTTAAACAATCAAACTGCATTTGTTTGATCCCACATTGGTTAAGTGCCTGTTGTGTTAATGCTTCTGCACACTTTCCCTTTCAACTTCTTCAGGGCTTCTGTTTAACAGTACTGAGGTATTTTGTTTGTTTGTTTATTGAGGTGGTTTTTCAACACAAAGGATTAAGTCAGAGGAGGTGATAATCTAGTACACATTTGATCTGAGGGTGCTTGGCATATGTTTGTGGAGTGAACCTAATGGAAAGCAAGATTTGCCATGAATAATCATAGTGCAGATCATTAGGAACATAACATATTTACAAGTATATAAAAGTACAAAACCATTGAAGAGCCCAGATGATAGTAAGATGCTGTAGAACAGTACATTTTCTTGTATGATGTGGAGCTCCTGCCAGCTTTGAAGGGGGTCCCAGCCTGCGTGTCACCTCCGCCTTCCTTGTCTTCACAGGTTCCCTGGGTCTCAGCCCTTTGGGTCAGTCCCACTGGCCCCTGTGGTCAGCCAGCCAACTGTGCTTCAGCCCTATGGCCCTCCCCCCACGAGTGCACAGGTGACTGCCCAGCTGGCTGGAATGCAGATCAGTGGTGCTGTGGCCCCAGCCCTTCCCCCCGTGGGGCTGGGCTATGGTGAGTAGCTATGACCACAGGAATGTGACTGTCCCCTTCTTTTTAGAAGCATCAGACTCTGGGGTATACCTGCATCCCTTTTATTTCTTGTGCTTCTGAGTGCCAGCAGATGGGACAATCATTCCTGCCCCTCTCATGTGGAAAGGGAGCAATTTACTGAATAAGAAGGCAAAATGACTAGAGATCTGATTCTACCTCTTCTACTTCTCAGGCCCACCAACATCGCTGGCCTCAGCCTCAGGAAGTTTCCCCAACTCTGGTCTGTATGGCTCCTATCCTCAGGGCCAGGCTCCTCCCCTTAGCCAGGCCCAGGGTCATCTTGGGGCCCAGCCTCCCCAGCGATCTGCCCCACCACAGGCCTCCAGCTTCACATCTCCAGCTTCAGGGGGTCCTCGGATGCCTTCGATGACTGGTCCACTCCTATCTGGACAGGGTTTTGGGGGGCCCTCTTTGAGCCAGCCCAACCATGTGTCCTCACCTCCTCCTCAAGCTCTGCCCCCTGGCACCCAAATGACTGGGCCCCCAGGACCACCGCCACCTATGCACTCCTCCCAGCAGCCAGGCTATCAGCTGCAACAAAATGGTGAGTTTTCCGCAAGGTTTGTCTAGGGGCCAAAGCCTTCAGCTAGTCAGGTGTTTTTGTTTGTTTGTTCTTAGTATTGCTTGCTAGGTGGTGAACTAGATGGATAGTTTGAGGGTATTATTACTAGGAGGTAGGGTTTATAAGACATTCTTTTTTCTTTTATTTATTTTTGTAAAATTTATTTATTTATTTGACAGACGGAGATCACAAGTAGGCAGACAGGCAGGCAAAGAGAGAGGAGGAAGCAGGCTCCCTGCTGAGCAGAGAGCCCGATGCGGGGCTCGATCCCAGACCCTCGGATCGTGACCTGAGCTGAAGGCAGAGGCTTTAACCCACTGAGCCACCCAGACGCCCCTCTTTTTTCTTTTAGTTTAGATAGTGTGGTCTTTCTCTGAATGGTTATTACCTCATAATTCTACACTTATAGGAGTCTGGTCATTTTCCTGAGGCCCTAAGAGATAGGGAGGGGATTTTGAATTTATCAACCTTGTGCCCTTGTCTCTCAGGTTCCTTTGGACCAGCCCGGGGCCCTCAGCCCAATTATGGAAGTCCCTACCCAGGAGCACCCACCTTTGGCAGTCAGCCTGGGCCTCCTCAACCACTGCCTCCTAAGCGCCTGGATCCTGATGCCATCCCCAGCCCTGTAAGTCAATACTTATGTGGTCCTAGGGACAGAGTTTTTGGCTGCCAGATAAGTGAGTCAACGTAGAAGAGATGTTGGCCTAGCGTTTTCTGATTATTTTCCCTTTTCGTTCATATTCTTGTAGGTATAGAACCAGTTCCTTTGAACTGGAACTTGAACCCCCAGAAGTCTTTTGGGGGGCACTTTTGCTCCATAGCTGAGCAGGGAAGGAAGGGAAGCCAAGAGTGATCAGTAGTGTCAGTAGAGCACTGGTTGAGTGCTGCATTCTGTCACTATTGGACATAGCATGGTAACCTCTGCCCTTGGAGTAATAGCTGGGTCCAGGTCTTATCCTCTTAGATTTGGTAGGATGGCAGTCTTTTTAATGGGTGGAGCTGGTGGGAATTAGCTGATGGTAGGTGTTAAGAGAAGGAAAGCCACACTGGTTTCTCTCTGTCTCTAGTTGAACAGTGTTTTAGGAGGAAACCTCCAGTACTTTTGTTGGCTAGAATCCTGCTGTGTAGATGAGAAGTGATCTACAGTTTATAAGGGCAATGTGGGGAAGCTGTTTTTTCCCAGGAAGAGGGTGACTCTCACCCTTAGAGCCATCATCAGAATCCTTAGGCCTTCCTTATCCTCCTTGGAATAGAGGTTGGGACTGTACTCCTAAGTAGGGGCTACTTTATAGTTCTGTCTACAACATTTGCTCTGTCAGTTACCTCACCATGCTTAGCCATTGTCATATTCCATTCTGTTCTCTTCCCTCTTCCTTTGGGGAATTACCATGGTGAAGGACCCTGTTGGCTAAGAGGGACTGTAGAGGATTAAGCAGCCTCTCCTTTCCCCCTCCTTCAGGGAGAACAAGAGTCTGGTCTGGTATAAGGAAAAGCTTCTTTAAGCATTAGCACAGTCCTTAGATGGGAGGTTTGGCTTTTTGGAAGGAATATCCTTCTTCCTTCTTCTTAAGGCTTCTCCCCTGCAGCCCCTCCCTGTAAAACCCCTGCTTGCTTACTGTTTGCCCCCTTATCTTTGTACATCATAGTCTGAGCCATTAAAGCCTATGTGTTGGGCCAGAGAGGCTTGGAATTTCTGACCTAGAGAGGGCCCGATTTCAGTAGTATGAGCTGGGCTCCAGCTGTTCATGTCTAACTCATCAGGGTCGAGAGAAGTAACATCTGCTTCTTGTTCTTTTGTCTCCCTCCCTGTATTCCCCTGCTGCCTTTATTATTAAAACACTAAAAGCAACTCAATGAGCTGCCTCCTCAGCAGAAAACCAGGCACAGAATAGACCCTGATGCCATTCCTAGTCCAGTAAGTGCAGGGGGTGGTGTGTGTGTGCGTGTCATCCCTGTGTTAATGCCACCCATGCATGCCTGTGACCTCATCTTCACCTCATCCACCATGTTCATCCCTCTCCATCCTCTTCCCTTAGTTTTTCTAGACCCTCGCTTTTACCCACCAGAAGGATTTGCATGTCTCAAGTCACCATGTAATGAAATGACAAGCTGTTAGCAGTGCTTTGAGTATGGGATGTTAGATCAGGCTCTAAGGGTGGGGTCAGGTGGCATGTTAAGCTTTGGTTTTAGTCCGGTTGGGTCCTCCAGTAGCCTGCATGTGACATTTGATAGAACAGGACAAAGTGGAGTGATAGGTTCTTCCCCTTTGGGATTGATTTGTCTACAGCTTATGGAGAAACTTTGGGTAGGTGACTACAAATGTATAAGTTTGGGATACTGGCATTTCTCACAGGGGAAGAGACTGCTGGTTTGGGAAAGCGTGGGCCACTTTCTCATTGGGAGAATTTGTTTGACTCTGATACATTTCTAAGCTTCAACTCTTAAGGATATGGAGTCTTATTCTCCGTTTACTTTTTCTGGTTTTACCAAACCATCTTAAAGTAACTGACCAAAGGTTATTAGCCTACACAAAGTTATGATTGCCAACTTTGTAAAATCTTTTTTTTTTTTTCCCCTTTGCTGGGTCTGTCAAAATGTGGGGGACTGAGGATTGGGCTTGTAAAGATCAGGTACTTAATCCTCTTCTCCCATATTGACACACTGATGCTTACCTGAAAATAAGGCAGCATCTGCTTCCTCACCTTACCTGGTCATTTCTGTTTAATCCTCTCCTCACCCTGTCCCTTCTACTTTCATTGAGTCTAGAGTCATTCCAGGTAGATTCATTTTTACATGGTTACCGTTGTCTGTTTTCCTGCTCTGACTCAGAATTTGTCTTGGTGAGAGGATTGGGAGGGGAGGTGTGCTGGGGGAGGGAAGTGGAATCCAGTCATGTTGGAAGGTTTGTGATGAGACCTGGAGCTTTCCTGGACTGGGGGGAATAGTGGGGTGGTCACCACAGATTGGGGATCAGGGTAATTCATAAAGAAGCCCATTCTCAATGTTGCCTGCTGAGCATTTTGCTGTTGATTATAGAATGAAAGATTGGACTTGTAGCATCTTATGTGATCTCCAGAAGGAGAGCATACCTGGTGCATGAGGTATTCTTGGCATATTACTAGTTTCCATGCTGTAGCTCTAGCCTTTCTCCTGGCTCTCCAGGACCTGGTACTTGCTTTCTTCTGTCACCTCATTCATTTTAGTTCTTCCCTACAGATTCAGGTTATTGAGGATGACAGGAACAACCGGGGTTCAGAGCCATTTGTTACTGGAGCACGGGGACAGGTGCCACCCTTAGTCACCACCAACTTCTTGGTGAAAGACCAAGGTAAGGAGGGTATTTATTTCTCTCTAGAGGGCTTTTTCTACTATGGTTAAACTTTTATCAGTTTTTTTTTTTTCAAGCTTTATTTATTTGAGAGAGAGACGTGGGGGGAGTGGGGAGTGTGCACATGGGGAGGGGCAGAGGGAGAGGGAGAAAATCTCAAGCAGACTCTTTCTGAGCATGGAACCCAACCTAGGGCTCTACTGTGAGATCATGGCCTCACTGACCATTTAGCATTTTGTGGGGCGATGGGTGGATCAGCAACAGAGAGCTGGTGTTTGGAGGGATTCTTTGGTCTGACCCTGGTTTTCTGCCTCCTCTAGGGAATGCAAGTCCCCGATATATCCGATGCACATCCTATAACATCCCTTGCACATCTGACATGGCTAAGCAGGCTCAGGTGCCTTTGGCGGCTGTCATCAAGCCACTGGCAAGGCTGCCACCAGAGGAGGTAAGTCAGGGAAGGGACTAGAGTATAATGAAAGGGAGGAAGAGGGGGAAGAAGACTTCTTCCTAGAAATGATTCTGGCAGTCATAATGGAAGAAGTCTTGGTTGGGCGAGAAGGGAGAGTATCTTCAGTAGCTTTCTCTCCCAGGGCCCATGCCTGACAGTTATGGTTGGGATGAAGGGAAAAGCCCAAGAAATTGTTGGAGGGGAGCAGGGGCCATATGGGAGACAAACTATGAAAGAGGTATGGCCAACTTACAGGGGAGGAGATGGCCGAATGCAGACACCTCTCATGGCATGGTCATCTCCAGATGATTATAAGTACATTATCCTGTTTTTCTTCTTTACTGTCTGTCATTCCAGCTAAGTTAGGGAATGTTAGGACAGCATATAAGAAAAAAAGGTAGATTAGGGTCCAGTAGTCCTTCTCTTACCTGACTTGGGCCCTGATTTATCACGTCAGTACCTGAAATCAGCATGAAAAGAGAGAGTGAGCTTGTCAGCTGCTCTGCCAGGCTTTGGTAGGATACCATCGTGTTTATTCCTAGCTTACTGAATTTAGGGTAGATTTCTCTGTAACTAGAAGCTCAAGGTGCAGTTTATATCCTGCTTCTTTCCATCTTGCTCTGCTTTTTTTTTTTTTTTTTCTGTCTCTGGGTCTCAATGGGGATGGTTAGACACTTGGGTGCTGATCTCTTATCTATAGGGTGACATGTGCTTGGGACATTGGTAGTTGTCACAGAAACCCAGGGGTGGAGGAGATCATTGTTAGAGATACTTGGCTGGGGAAGGAAGCAGAGTTAAGATCCTTAGGGCAAAAAGTGAGGAGAATTGAAGACAGGGCCAGAAATGAGAATCCTAGGTTATCTTTGGCTTTCTCCTTACATGCCTATGGCAGCTCCTTATTTGGTCGGGCCAGTTTCACAGTTCTTTTCTTTCAAAAAAGTGGAATTCTGGAGATGAGGAATAAGAAGAGGGAACTATAGAATTTGAACTCTTAAGGAAGTTCCTATGACCAGCACCTTCATCATTTATCTTCATTCCCCTTTACTGTACTCTCTCCTCAGGCAAAATATCTTAGCCATGCCCTCCTCCCTTCAGGTTGTTCCTCTTTATCTCTTGCCACGTGTCTCAACCCACTGTAACTTTCCACTCTCTGAGCCCCTCCCTTTTGCTCCTTAGGCTTCACCGTATGTCGTGGACCACGGGGAATCTGGCCCTTTGCGCTGCAACCGCTGCAAAGCATATATGTGTCCCTTCATGCAGTTCGTTGAGGGAGGGAGGCGCTTCCAGTGCTGCTTTTGCAGTTGCATCAATGATGGTATGTTCGCGAGGGCTGGGATTGGGGGGATGTTCTTCTGTATTGCGTCTCTGTTACTCTCTTTCTAGTGAGATAGGTGAGGTTCCCTTATTTAGGAACTGGGGAAGTAGGGCACGTATGGGGATGTGGGGCAGTAGAGTGATCTCAGCCAAGCCAGACTTACTAAGATTGAGATAGACATTTGAGTAATATTCTGTCATGTTCCCCACAGTTCCCCCCCAGTATTTTCAACATCTGGATCATACCGGCAAACGTGTGGATGCTTATGACCGTCCTGAGCTATCCCTGGGCTCTTATGAATTCTTGGCCACTGTAGATTACTGCAAGGTAACGGAAAGTAGCATGGGGAGGAGCAGTGGGTAGTGGACAGTGAGAGAGCTAAGAATTGCTGTGTTCACTTCCCTTACTCTTTCGTTGTCCCCTTTGATGTTGACTTCTCTCTAGTCAACTAGCCAGCTTACCAGTCCCCGTCTCTCCCCAACGTTTCCTTCCTTTGCAGAACAATAAGTTCCCCAGCCCTCCTGCCTTCATCTTCATGATTGATGTCTCCTACAATGCCATCAGGAGTGGTCTTGTTAGGCTCCTCTGTGAGGAGCTCAAGTCACTGATAGACTTTCTACCTAGGTGAGATTTATGGAGACAAGGTGCATCCCTTGGATAATCACTGGGGTGTGGGTGGTTCTGGGTTTTTGACTCAGTAGGTAGAGCTTGAGGTTATGACGTTGGCTGGTGAAGAAGGTGGCAAGTGTGGGTAACGATGTTACCTTTTACAGGGAGGGCGGAGCAGAAGAGTCAGCAATCCGAGTTGGCTTCGTCACCTATAATAAGGTGCTCCACTTCTACAATGTGAAGAGCTCATTGGCCCAGCCACAGATGATGGTTGTATCTGATGTGGCTGACATGTTTGTGCCACTGCTGGATGGCTTCCTTGTCAATGTCAGTGAGTCTCGGGCAGTCATTACCAGGTAAGAGCCAGATTATAGAGGTAAAGTGGGAGTGGGGTGGAAACAAACACAGGAAGCCAGACAGCTGAGCAGAGGGTCAGCAGATGGACAGGGACTGTGCCTCAGGAGTTTTCAGTCTAGGGGGCCACATGATTCTTCAGAGTATTAAGGACTGAGGAATTGAGTCTGGATAGCAATTTTGATTGCTTCCCATCACCTGTCTCTCCAGCTTATTGGATCAGATTCCTGAAATGTTTGCAGACACAAGGGAGACAGAGACAGTATTTGCCCCAGTTATCCAGGCTGGCATGGAGGCTCTAAAGGTAAGGTTAGAACCCTGACAACTTCCTCTGCCTTGCTTTCCTCTGACCATCTTATACACTGGGATATAATTACTATTTCTTTAGTGATTGAAGACTGTCCAGTGAGTCAGCATATGTGACATAACTGGCACTGAATAACGACAAGGGAAAGGATGAATGAATAATAGCTGAATAAAGGAAAGAATGAACAAGTAGTCTTCTCTTTCCTAGGCTGCTGAGTGTGCAGGGAAGCTGTTTCTGTTCCATACCTCCCTGCCCATTGCAGAGGCCCCAGGGAAACTGAAGAATAGAGACGATAGGAAGTTGATCAACACAGACAAGGAGAAGGTATGGGATTGGGAGATGGAGGGGAGGACTTTCCATGACAGAGGAAGGTGGTGATTCTTTGCAATGCAATACTCTTAACTTTCTTGATGGGGTACTAGGACTAGACACTCTACTCTTTCACATGTCAAGTCCATGACTGCCAACTTTGTCCAGTGCTCCTGTACTTCTCTGCCCCATTTCATCCCAAAGCCCTTGATAGATTTCTTTTTTTTTTTTTTTAAGAGAATGTTCTACTACTGTTGCAAATACCTATGAAGTAGATCTGAAGTTGTGCATATATTTGAATATCCCATATTAAATACATAGTTCTCAAGTAGGGTGGAGCTATTTGAATATTTTCTTCTGTTCCTCTACAGACTCTGTTCCAGCCTCAGACAGGTGCCTATCAGACCCTGGCCAAAGAGTGTGTGGCTCAAGGCTGTTGTGTAGATCTCTTTCTCTTCCCTAACCAGTATGTGGATGTGGCCACGCTCTCTGTTGTACCCCAGCTCACGGGTGGCTCTGTCTACAAATATGCTTGCTTTCAGGTAGGGCATAGGACTCTGGGTAGCAGGTGGGAGCGGGACTGGGAATGTCTGCTTACATGTGGAGCAGCTCTTTAGCTACTGACTCCTTAATAGGAATCCCGGTGGCGGAGAAACCCTATAATATAAAGAAGAGAGCCATAAGGGTAGTGGTTAGGAGCATGGGGCTTGGAAACAGTCCTAGGTTGTTATTCTGGCCCTCCCAGAATACTAGCAATATGACCTAGGAGAAATTACTCATTTATTGCTTTTGTTTCTTCATCTGTAAGATGGGGTTTTAATACTTCTTAATTAAGATTTGTCATTAGAATCAAGTAGTTATACATAAGGTTCTTAATGTGGTGCTTGGCACATAGTAAATGCTTAGAAGGTGTCATTACCATCATCATCATCGTCTTCACTGTTACTGTTATTATGATTCAGCAGGTTGTAGAGTGGAGGGATGCAGGGAGATAGACTGCAGGTTGTTATGTAGTCAGTGATGTGACTCTGCGCCTGGGGGGCTGCAGGTGGAGAATGACCAGGAACGGTTCCTGAGTGACCTGCGTCGGGACGTACAGAAGGTTGTTGGCTTTGATGCTGTGATGCGCGTTCGGACAAGCACTGGTCAGTCCTGGTTGGAGAAGAGCAGGCGGGGGACTAAACCTGGGAGGGAGACAAGTGGCAGCTGTGATATCTGCAGCCCTGACCTCATCCCTGTGGCCTCAGGTATCCGTGCTGTAGATTTCTTCGGGGCTTTCTACATGAGCAACACAACAGATGTGGAGCTGGCTGGGCTAGATGGGGACAAGACGGTGACTGTGGAGTTCAAGCATGACGATCGGCTCAATGAAGAGAGTGGAGCCCTCCTGCAGGTAGTGGGCAGGAGGCAGGGGCTGGGGAGAAAGTGTCAAGTATCACTGTACTGGATATAAATAGGCTGCAGGGAAGAGGGTACGAGGGGGGTGGAGAGGGCTAGAAGAGGCCAGGGAAGGGATGGCTCATCTTTCTTCTAGCTTAATAATCCAGCAAAGGAGCAGTTTTACAGAGGGCTTTGGTGAGGGAGGGGTATGAGTTCTCCCTTTCTCCCTTCCCCTAGTGTGCCCTGCTCTACACCAGCTGTGCTGGGCAGCGACGGCTCCGCATCCACAATCTGGCCCTGAACTGCTGCACACAGCTGGCTGATCTGTACCGAAACTGTGAGACTGACACGCTCATCAACTACATGGCCAAGTTTGGTGAGGGTAGAGGCGGGGTGAAGTGGGATTGGGGCTGAAAGGTGATTGTCAGTGATTCAGCATTCCCAGGTAGGTGTGGTGTCAGGAAAGTAGGTGCGATGGGGTGGCCAGCCGGTGACTGTACTGTCTCCATTTCCCATCCAGCATACCGGGGGGTCCTCAATAGCCCCGTGAAGACTGTTCGTGATACTCTCATCACTCAGTGTGCCCAGATCCTGGCCTGTTATAGAAAGAACTGTGCCAGCCCCTCCTCGGCGGGACAGGTGGGCACGCACCCTGGAGGAATTGTTGGGACAAATGTTTGCATTTAGGAGAGATTGCTCGTGATCATTAACTTTATTTTGATAACTCCTGCAGTTGATCCTTCCTGAGTGCATGAAGCTACTCCCAGTTTACCTGAACTGTGTGTTGAAGAGTGATGTCCTGCAGCCTGGAGCTGAAGTCACTACTGATGACCGTGCCTATGTCCGACAGCTGGTTACTTCCATGGATGTGGCTGAGACCAATGTCTTCTTTTATCCTCGGCTTCTACCACTGGTGCGACTGAGGGCTGAATGAAACATTGTATCCTGAGAACGGGGCATCATAGAAGGAAGGGAAGGGTTATTATTATCTGTTGTCTGACACTAGTGAATTTGTTTTTAACCTGCATTATCTGATGTAATTTTCACACTGAAGAAGTTACTGAGAGATAGAGCTTTCTGAAATTTCATGGGGAGGGGCCACAAATGTGTCTTTCAGTCCTTGGTAAATAACCTTTTGCCCCCTTCCTTTTGTCTAGACAAAGTCTCCCATTGAGAGTGCCACTGAACCACCAGCAGTTCGAGCATCTGAAGAGCGTCTAAGCAATGGGGATATATATTTGCTGGAGAACGGGCTCAACCTCTTCCTGTGGGTGGGAGCAAGTGTCCAACAGGGTGTTGTCCAGAGCCTCTTCAGTGTCTCGTCCTTCAGTCAGATCACCAGTGGCTTGGTGAGGGCAGGGAGTCAAGGGGAGTATGGGTGTGGAAATGCATTTTGGGATATGAGTGGGAGCCAATAAAGTTTGTGTGCTAGTCTGCTTTAATAGCAGGGAACATTTGAAGAGGAGGGATTGTGCTATCATTATTCCTGGGCTTGTTACAGATGATGAATAAACCTGTGCTGCCCCATTTTTTACTGGACTCAGAATATCTTACCATAAGGATAAATGAATTTTGTGTTGCAGAGTGTTCTGCCAGTTCTGGATAATCCGCTGTCCAAGAAGGTGCGAGGCCTCATTGATAGCTTAAGGGCACAGAGATCACGGTACATGAAGGTAACACTGATCTAAATCCTGGATTTCTTACCTTGTCAAGTCCACTCCTAGAAGGGGAGTGGGAATAAGTGATTGGATAATGGGAATTTAGGGCATGTTTAATTTCTTTTGGCCCTGCCTCATGACCCTATTTTTCTGGCCATAGCTTATCGTGGTGAAACAGGAAGACAAGCTGGAGATGCTGTTCAAGCACTTCCTGGTGGAAGACAAGAGCTTGAGCGGGGGAGCATCCTATGTGGACTTTCTCTGTCATATGCACAAGGAAATTCGGCAGCTACTGAGCTAGAGCAAGTGGGTAAATGGCATAGGGTGCCAGCCAGCTTCCCGAAAGTACTCCAGGATGGCAGAGAAATTGGAACAGTTCCTTATCTAAGTCATGTAAGCTGACCTCAGTCTCTTTGGGGGGAGGGGGAAGTATAAGGAGACACCTTTCTGGGATCAAGTATCCAACCACTCTGTCATGTCCTGCTGATGGAAGGTGCCCCTATCTCCTTGCATTACCCTCCTTTTCCTGCTAATCCTGTCGTAATGAATGTAGTTTCTCAGTTCACTGTATATGATTCGGTGTTGGGGGATTTGGAGGCACCCAGACTCTGGCAATATTATGTGTCCCCTTGGACCAGCCTCCAAGAAGAGAGGGGCAGGCAGGAAGGAGTGGGAATCCCAGGGTTACTATGGGGGGGGAGGGACTAATTCAGCTCAGTGTCATCAACAACTTCCTATATTAGGGATGAAACATACAGGTGCACAAGAGCTGGGGTATACAGTGGAGAGAGAAGTGGCTGGTCAGTCCTTCTTGGGTCTGGAAGTCGGCAACCAAGTCAGAGATAGGGAGAGTGGTTGATTAGCTTTTCTCTCTCTCCTGCAATGATCGTTGATCACTCAGTGGATAGAGGCACATTGTCAGAGATGAATGAGCCTGGGAAATGAGTTGCAAAGCATATTAAGACATGGGAGAGGTACCAGCCTCTTTTCCAGCTGGAGAGGCTCCAACACTGGATGGTTCTCTAGAGAGCCTGGTCATCAACTTGCAATACCTCACAGAGCCAGCCCCTATCCCACTCTGAGTTCCCACTGGAAACACTGCTTCTCCAAGCTGGGAGTTGTTGGGGAGAGAGTCAGTGGCTGCTGGAGCTCTGTTCTCTCCTGCCGGGACACCACTCCAGCTTTGGTATTGACAGAGTGGCTGATAGTTACCTTCCAACCTGAACTGGCTGGGGCAGGACAAGGGCTAGGCTTGATGGTGGCCAGGCTTGTCTGCTCCCAGCCTGGGATGCCCCTGCTCTGGACCTCTCATTTCTCCTCATTGGTTTATTTTTCAATGCATCTTTAATTTGTAAAGAAATAAAATAAATTAAGATGTAACAATTAGTCTCATTTTTACTTGTGATTTACCACTGTCCCCTCTATTAATTCCGGCTAGGCCTAGCACTTCCCAGGAAGTGGCTGGCTGAGCAGAACTGCGCATGCGTCACACGCACCGCGGGCGTAGGACCTTGTCGAGTCGCGACTCACCGCAGGGCGGGGTCTAGTGCTGCCGGGAGGAGTTGCGGGTTTGGTGGGCGGTGGGTGGGGGGCGGTTAGGGGGCAGCTGCCAGTGGACATGGCGGCGGGCTGCAGCGGGGTTGCGCTTGCTGTCTTTGGAGTGCTTAGTATTTGTACGGTCAGCGGCTCTGGGCCCGTGGCTGAGAGGGAGACCAGCAGGGAGGCGGGCTGGACGGAGCCATGGGATGGTGCGGTTTTCCGGCCGCCCTCAGCGCTGGGCGCGGTCGGGGTGGCGCGCAGTCCAGGGACCCCGCGGCCAGGGAGGGAGGAGGCGGTGGACTTGCCGGTGCTGCTGTGGTGGAGCCCAGGCCTATTTCCTCACTTCCCGGGCGACTCGGAGCGCATCGAGTGCGCGCGTGGTGCGTGCCTGGCGTCCCGGGACCGCCGGGTGCGGTGGCACTCACGGACGCGCGCGCTGCTCTTTTACGGCACTGACTTTCGCGCGTCTGAGGCGCCGCTGCCGCGCCTGGCACATCAGAGCTGGGCGCTTCTGCACGAGGAGTCACCCCTCAACAACTTCGTGCTGAGCCACGGGCCCGGCATCCGCCTCTTCAATCTCACTGCCACTTTCAGCCGCCATTCGGACTACCCGCTGGCGCTGCAGTGGCTGCCCGGGACCGCCTACCTGCGCCGCGCGGCGCCTCCGCTACAGGAGCGCGCAGAGTGGCGCCGCCGCGGCTACGCGCCTTTGCTCTATCTGCAGTCCCACTGCGACGTGCCTGCGGACCGGGACCGCTACGTGCGCGAGCTGATGCGTTACATCCCGGTGGGTGGGGCCGGGCGGGGCCGGGGCGGGGCTGGGAGTGGGGGCGAGGGGGCGCGTGCGGCTGAGGCCCGCACCCCTGGCGTCCCGGCGGACATGCAGCACCCACTTGACGGCCGTACTCTACCCCGCTCAGGTGGACTCCTATGGGAAATGCCTGCAAAATCGGGAGCTGCCCACTCCGCGGTTACGGGACACAGCCACAGCCACCACCGAGGATCCAGAGCTTTTGGCCTTCTTGTCTCGCTATAAGTTCCACTTGGCCCTCGAAAATGCCATCTGTGATGACTACATGACAGAAAAACTGTGGCGCCCCATGCATCTCGGGGCTGTGCCTGTGTATCGCGGCTCTCCTTCTGTGAGGGACTGGATGCCCAACAATCACTCCATCATCCTCATTGATGATTTTGAGTCACCACAGAAGCTGGCAGAATTTATTGACTTTCTGGACAAGAATGATGAGGAATACATGAAATACCTGGCATATAAGCAACCTGGGGGCATCACCAACCAGTTCCTTCTGGATAGTCTGAAGCATCGGGAGTGGGGAGTGAATGATCCTTTGCTGCCTAACTACCTCAATGGCTTCGAGTGTTTCGTCTGTGACCATGAACTGGCTCGGCTGGAGGTCGAGAAAGCTCACGCAGCCTCTCCTGAGGATGTCCCTGGCCCTGAACCTCACATTGCCCAGCCCTCACACATGGATTGCCCAGTGCCCACACCTGGTTTTGGCAGTGTGGAAGAGATTCCTGAGAATGACAGGTAAGGATAGCTGAGGACCCTGTGGCCATCAAATCAAATGACTGATTGAGTGACTTGCTTGCTGTGGGCAGTGAACTAGTATTAGCTTAGGGGATTGTTGTATAAGGAAATTATGACATGGACTTATTCTGCCTTTAAGGTGTCAAGAGTCTTGGTTGGGGAGATAAGACAAACTGAAAAAGCTCAGTAAAAGATGCAAAGGAAAATATCATTCAAGGCGACAACATGAGGTCAGCTTATGTGAACAGTGTTTGCAACAGGTCAAAAAAGGCTTTGATCAGAGCAGAGGGGGCCTATTCAGATGAAGTGATGAGAGACAGAGTTGGGCAGATAAACTGGGGCCAGGCTATACATAGCCTGAATACCAGGCTCAGGAGTTAGACTCTCCTGAAAATCAACTCAGCTGTTTATTTAGCACCTTCTAAAGGGTGGGGGTGGGGATGAGCAATACAAAGATGTGTATTTTGAGAGAGGTTTATCTGCAGTAGGGTTTACATCTGTTAACCTGGCATAATTATTTTTGTTTAAGATTTTTAAAATTTATTTATTTGACAGAGATCACAAGTAGGCAGAGAGGCAGGCAGAGAGAGAGAGGAAGGGAAGCAGGCTCCCCGCTGAGCAGAATCCCGGGATCATGACCTGAGCAGAAGGCAGAGGCTTTAACCCATAACCTGGCATAATTATTAATAGCATCTCCTTTCACTCTTAAAAGTATCCTGGTTTGGGTGATAAATTACACATTTGCCCTAAACAAGAGAGAAAGACTGCTTTCAATAAATAATAATGAACAATGGTGGGCAGTGTGAATTAGTGTGAATTAGAAAAGTGAGGAAGCTTGTGCAGTAAGTGGCAGAAGGTGGTGCACTGGGAAACAAGGTCAGCATGGGAAGTGTGAAAATGTTGAAGCAACGTGCAGCAAACCACATCTGTTTGGGGAGAGGTGATAAGAAGACTATTAAGCTTCAGAAAGCAAGGCTGCTAGACTGGCCGCAGAGACCGACTTGCACAGTAGATGGCAGCAGAGGGCTGTTTATATACACTGCTGGCAAAATTTTTTTCTTCTGGGAATGGAGCCTTCCATGAAGTAATTTGTATCTAGTATATGCTGAACATAGTATGATTTACTAGAAGAAAAATGTAAAATATTAAAAAAAATAAAATATGTTTTATCTAGACATTGGGCATCACGGCACCTTCATTTTGATTATTGAAATAAAGGTGCAACTTAATAAGGTAACCATCTAGAGGCTCCCTGGCTTTTCTTACAGAGAACTCTGGCCCTTGCCCTGCCTTCCTCTGAACTCCTTCCACATTTGGAAACCTGGAGTGGGCAAGTCAGGAAGTTTCACTCATTGTGGGTGGGCTGTGTGATAGATAACGTGTTTGCAGCTTACTGTCACCTGTACTACTACTAGATTTACTTCACATTTCATTCCCTTCAAAGCAGTGCCCTGTCTCAGCCAGAGATTACTGTATCTGTTTAAGATTCTTTGACCCATTCAGAGAAGGCAGGACCATAGCTGTGCAGAGGTTCCATAATCCAACTCCCATTTTGATGTTTCAGCTGGAAGGAGATGTGGCTGCAAGATTATTGGCAAGGTCTGGACCAGGGGGAAGCTCTCACTGCCATGATCCACAACAATGAGACAAAGCAGATGAAATTTTGGGATTATCTACATGAGATCTTCATGAAAAGGAACAAAAATCTCTAATTATCCTTGCAAGAGCCTTTAACTTGGTAGAGTTAAGGAGACAGAAGTCCTTATTCTACTATCGGACATGAGGGGCGTCTGCTGCACAACCTTAATGAACACTGTCTTATCATGAGTTCAAGGAGTTCCATTTATAGCCACTGATATTTTATCCTAATGTTGTGTACCCACTGTCTCAGCTTGTGGTAATAGGGCCTGTCTTCAAGGAGAGGTGGAGGTCTCCAGTTCTTGGATTAATGGGAAGCAAAAGCCTGAAACACCCACTTGTTTCAAAGTGCTGATTGAACAGAATTGTAAAAGAACTGCATCTTTTTCTAGCCATCTCATTCTCTCAACTGTGATTGGAACAACACCTTGGTACTTGTCTAAGAATGAGGTAAGATGGGTCAGATTTAAGGTCTTAAAACTTTGATGCTATTTTTTAAAACTCTTCATTATTCAGTACCTTTCCTAATCTGTTTTCCTCATATCCTGCTTTATAACCTGTTAGGTTGGTGGTGAAGCAGAACTCTTGGTGGGTTGTATTCTGGTTCTTAGAGTTGTATTTTTAATATCATTTGCTTGTCTTTGATGTCAAACTTCTTATTTTAAATGGATTTTTCTTTCTTGGTTTTCCACAGTAGCTGATGAAGATGCAGGAGCCTTGCCACCATCCCCACACTCATTCTCCCCTTGCCACCATCCCCACACTCATTCTCCCCTGCATTAAACTGGCTATAGACTTGACAGCTTTTTTTACTGCTGATTTGCCTTTTTTTTTTTCCCTTAAGAGCGTATCATGAATTCCTTCTCATCTCATAAAGATTCAATGGCTAATATATGCCATGTCAATTTAATGAATTGTCCTGCTCTATTTTAGGTTGCGGATAGAGACTAAGGCTGGAAATGATGACAGAGTATATATCATTCATATATATTTAAATGATTTTGGAATGTTAAAATAGACCAGTGTAAATCAAACTGCAGATTTTTATAGGTCTTTGTCTTTTCTGTCTGCCTAATGAACTCTTTTATTTTACTATTTTTATATGCTACCAAAGTCTCATTTTCCCCAAAGACTCATGAAAATTATGTTGGAAAAAACAGCCCAGCAATATAGTTGTAGTCATTACCTCATATTATGTAGCATTTTTCACTTTATGTGGAATGAATATTCCACATCATTCTATTACCAGTATCTGTCTGTACAACTTTGTAGTACTTACTGAGACTGCGTTTGGATGGAGCCTACCTAAGGTCCTCTCCAGGGGAGTTGAGGCAAGAGATAGCCACAAGTGGCTGACTAAATAAAAAATTGTTAGGCAGATTTTGGGGTATAGCCAAACCCTTTTATTGCTGTGGTTTGAATATAAAGCTTAATGGGCAGGGAGACCATTAGGTTTTTCTGGGCCAGTGGAATAAGAAAGAATACTTTTAGCGCTACTCTGGTTGTATAATGTATTAATGAATTATCACTAGAGAATTTCCATAGCCTATCAGTTTATCTGTTTGGGAATTAATGTATGTACTTTCATATACACATATACACACTGATATACAACCAGAAGTGTGTGTGTGTGTGTGTGTGTGTGTATGTTAGATGCTTCAACAACTAGGGTCCCACCCTTAATATTGTGACATCTAAGGATGTGGCAGCTGTAATTGGGGTTGGATTTCACTGCCAGGGTGGTTCTTTTTCCATTTTATTTTTTAGTAAAAAATACCCTTCACAACAGCATGGAAAGTTTGCTTAACCTGTTTGAGCTTGTTCAGAAAAGAACAAGAGGGAAAGACAGACCTTCAAACATACTTATATTAAAATAGTAGCGACCCACAAAAGAAGTCAAATTCAGGACTCTGATTTCTGAATTTGCAATCTATTTAAATGCAGGTGCTGATTTATAGTGCAAACTACATACTACTCAAATGCAAACTAAGGTTAGGAATCAAGTTTCATGATGTGCAATAAAATGGGTAAGTGCCAAGTGTATAACCATCCTTACCTCTCCAAATTAGACCAGTTCACACTGGCATTCCTTTAGCACTTTTATGTACAAAGTGGGCCAGTTTATGAATTATTGTGGCTTGAGACTCATGCCTGCTTTGTGCACAGTGCTTCCCAGACTTTCTCCTTTAATCCTATCACAATAGAAGTATTCATAAAAGACCACAGTAAACCAGTTGCTATGTTTCCGCAAGAGAAAGCAGAACCAATATGAAGAGAAAGCAAACAATGTGAATTTTCTCTGGTTTGGGCCCAGCTTGCTCTGTGAACAGCAACAGGCTCAAGATTATTGGTGGAAGAAATGTCTGACTAGGAATCAGTTTTATATGTGCTGCTGGGGTGGCAGTGGAGTACGGGACTGATGCCATTATTAATCTGTATGTTGCAGTTCTCTATTTTCTTACGTTTCATTTTGTATAATAAATGACTTCTTTTTAAACAGTGTCTTCTGCTTGGTTATATTTCTGGGCTGAGTATGATACACTTGGAGACTTGGAAAAATATGTCAAAACATTTGTTCATTTAACGAGTATTTACTGTCACTATTCTAGGCACTGGGGATTCAGTAAGACAGGGTCCCTTTCTCTCATGGTGCTTATTTTAAATGGGTGTTGCTGGTAAGCAAAGCTGTAAATAAACAATAAGTGAACAAGATAATTCAGACTGTGATATGTGCTATGGAAAAAATACAACAGCTTGGTGTGGGGGGGGCGGGCTCAGGGAAGGCCTTTCTGACAGGAACTGAGACTCAACAGAAGAAAAAGAACCAGTCTTGCAGAGATCAGTGGGAATATTAAACATCTGTGATAAATGATTTTAACTTTAGCAGTGATAAAATGATTTTTTAATTTTAGCACACTAAATTTTATACAACCAAATAAATATTGCTCCTCCGAAGTAGTCCTCATATGAACTAAAAGCTGTTCAAGTTAAGCTTCCATTACCAGAACCATTTCTTGAAGCTTATTTTTAAAGGCCTTGAGAATCCCTGGCACATCTTTGAGTTTTGTAAATAGCTTAAAGACACTTAGAACCAAGTCTGATGAAGCTAGGCATCACAACTGGTGGGTCCAATCTATTAATAGGAATGATACCACCAAGTATCTTCACAGGATTGGAGAGATTAAATTAGATGATAAATGCCAAAATGCTTAAACCCCACCTAACCCAATGAGATTATTACAAAGGAGAGCAAAGGATATATAGTAAGATACAGAAGTAGCAGCTTTATTTTTATTTATTTATAAGTAGGCTCCACTCCCATCGTGGAGTCCAATGAAGGGCTTGAACTCACAACCCGCTGTCAAGACCTGAGCTGAGATCAAGAGCAGGACGTTTAACTGAATGAGACACCCAGCTGTCCCAGTAATAGCAACTGTTTAAGTGACCCTAATTTTTCTTTACGGTTTTGGGGTGGTTTTAAAGGTAGTAAAATCCAACAGTTCTTGAAGACTTGCCAAAACACAAAACTGTCCAAATCAAACATCTTTTAAGTCTCATATTTTGATTCGCTCCCATCCTCTGCCCTTGCTTATGTCAATCATACTCTAGTTCAGCCAGCTCCCACCATAAACGAGGGTCCTTTTTATCAGGTCCTTTACTAGATGTTCCCTGCTTAGTACCGCCCAAAGACTTCAGGGCCGCGAGCCCACAAAAGAGCGATCTAGATCTGCGAACGAGCCCCAAAGACTCTCCTAACCTGCACACAGGTCTCGAATGACCCGTGTTGGATCCCAGCGTCCCGCCTACAGGGCCAAGAGACCAAACTGGCCTCCCAGCTTCCCGCAGGTTGCGCGCCTACGCTCGTCGAGCTCTTTGGGGTCACGCAGGGTCACGTACGGGACGACGCAGAGCCTGCCGGGAGCTCGGTGCGCAATGGCGACGCCCAGCCTGCGGGGTCGATTACCGCGGCTGGGAAACCCGCGGAAGCCTATACTGAAGCCCAACAAGCCCCTCATTCTAGCTAACCGTGTTGGGGAACGACGCCGGGACAAGGGCGGTGAGCAGTCGGAGCCAGGGAGGCTCCAGAGCGGAAGCCGGAGGGATGCACCGGACGGCTGGGTGGGAGGGCCTTAAGGTAAAAGGTTTCCTTGTGACTGACGGTGCTCTCGTTCTGCTCCTCCAGAGGCGACTTGTATCACAGAGATGTCGGTGATGATGGCGTGTTGGAAGCAGAATGAATTCCGCGACGAAGCGTGCAGAAAAGAGATCCAGGATTTCTTCGACTGTGCTTCTAGGGCTGAGGTGACAGAAGGCTCTTAGGGTGCCCCCTTGGGAGGAGAATGGGGGCGGGGATACAAGTAATTGTTCTTGCCTCTTGCTAGGTGATAGGACCTTCTCATTCCAAAAAGGCGAGGAAAGTTGTGGGAGCGATTTCACTCACGCTACAGTGGAACAAGTTAGGTTTTGAAGGCATTGTGATACTCAGCGATTTCTTTCACTGCTCTAGGCTTTAGCTATACCAGATGTAAAAGGAGGTTAATGTTAATACCCATCTTACAGAATGTTGTATTAAATGGAGGAATGAATGGGAAAATTTAAAATGCTCCTCAAATAGATATTATTGTCTGAAATAGAGCTAAATATTGTGAAGGGCAGGTTGTTTGGTTTTTAGCCTAAAATTAGTTGCTAGCTGTCATGGTAGCTCAGGTCATACTGTCATCTGTAGGTTCCAAGTCCCTTTTGAAAGGAGACTGGATAGATGACACAGATAGTTCCAGGCTGGTTAATATGTTAATGTGGTTTGCAGCATTGTGAGAACTTTTGGCCTAGGTCAGGATAAACTCTAGAGCTGTCATTTTTGTTTTTTTTTTCTGTCTTTTCAGGGGGCCCGAAAGATGAGATCAGTCCAGGATACAGGAGAATCTGGGAATTTACCCCCCATGAAACTCAATAAGTTGTTACAGAGATTTCCTAACAAATCTCATGTCAGTTGAAAATGGAGAAGCATTTTCTATGACTGGACTGTAGCTACTGAGAACTATGCAGAGGTGTTTTAGAGACGTTTGCACTGCCATGCTCTATTTGAAAGGTGAAAGGAGGCAAGACATCTTTTCATCTTTTGTAATCATTGTCAGGGTGGAAGTTATGCTTTATCTTGAAATAAAATCCTCTGAAGAGAAGTTGGCCTTTGTTGTAGATTAGGTTTGCCTTCTATACTTGAACTCTGTATTCTTCCTGAGAATGGAAGTTCTTTGCTCCCTGATTTGCTCCAGGATCAGGACATATTTATTCTTGTTCTGCATTTGAAGTTTACACCATTTAGTATTCTTGCCTTTGGATGCAATAAGGGAGTTGAAGTCTGCCTATATGCAGAATTTTTTTTTACCATCATCTGTAAGTATTTCGTAACTGCCTATTTTGTGCATAGCCCCTGCAAGATGCTCCCAGAATAATCAGAAGTTCACAAACTGGTGACCAAAGTTGCTGCAGATGTATTTTATTTAGCCAACACAATTAAAAATTTCTTTTTAAATTAGAAGACCACCTCGAAATAGGAAAAAATATCATTAAAAATCCACTTTGGAGCTTTCCATTAAAAAAAAAAATCTGGCAATACTGATTTTTTTTTTTAAAGATTTATTTATTTTGAGAGAGAGAGAGAGAGTGAGAGAGAGCATGAGAGGGGAGGTCAGAGGGAGAAGCAGACTCCCCATGGAGCTGGGAGCCCAATGTGGGACTTGATCCCAGGACTCTGGGACCATGACCTGAGCTGAAGGCAGTCGCTTAACCAACTGAGCCA